GGAAATATCTGCAAAATTTGTGTAGGATTCATAAGGGGGGGGGGGGGGTTCTTAATGACTGAGGACTTAGAACAAAGGGTTACTGAGATACCAGTGAGCCTGAGGACCTCAGTAATTTTGCGAACAAGCCCTCAGAGACATGTCCAGAAAACTTGTAGGTCTAACAATAGGAACCAAAAAAAGGAGCATGAATCTTCTGTTGTACATACAACCAGCTAGTGCAGAACACTATGCATGCATGTGTGAGTTCACAAATGTATGGGACATGACCAATTTTCGGCGCAAAGTGGAAAAAACCTGTTGCCTCTTTGCCTAAACGTGGGCGTACAGCACAAATAGTGCGATATAGTCCATCATCATCTCTCTATCTTGCTACCAAATCTGTCATCTACTAAAACAAACTCCATTTCACACAGCACATGCTGGACCTCCAAATTGACCTTTTTTTGGGGGATGGAAGGAGGGGAACTTGCACATTTTTAACTTTTCAGACTTCAACAGACATTGAGGCACAACTGAGCACTGAGCAGTAGTGCCGCAATTAACCAATCAACAGACTTTAGTACAGCACTTAATTAAATTACAAAGTTAACAACGTAATTCATGTCAATAGTTTCAAGGTTGTAGACAAAAATCACATTTGAAAGAGCCGATGACACAGAGTGCCTATCTACAAGGCAATGCTAGATCAGGCAAGACACATTGAACACACCCCCCCCCCCCTCCACCTGACAGAAGAAAGGCAGCAAGTCAGAAATCTAATTAACCAAACTGCGTTTCCACAGGATTTAAGCCGTTAGCTTCACGGACATGCATCCATGGTCGGAAATTAAATACAAGATTCCATGTTAAGCAAATATGTCCTTGGTATCTGGCTGTGCAGGCTGGTAGAGGACGCATCAGTTAGCAGTTATGTAACCAAAACAAGACGAGGCAAAGCCAGGTAAGGTTAGTTTATAGAGTGCACAAAATTACATTCAACTGATTCAGAATGTCTATTCACCGGCGATCTTTTAATGCATCTGGTGTACCAGGATCAGCCCGGTTCCCTTCGCCTACCAACAACTAGGCTAAGTCAGTAGTGACAGTCAGTCAGAAAGTCAGCGAGTCAGTTGGGTGTAGAAGGAGGAAGATAGAGAGAAAGGGACAGAGGAAAAGCTGGCACGGCAACATCACAGAGTGGACACGCCCTGGGCATGCCGACTCTCCTTCAACAAGTGATGGACAGATATGCTGGAGACTGCTTTCGGTTTCAGCATCCATCACGTCCCCCCTACGCAGGGCCGGATGAAGTGTTCAGTAGGCCCTAGGCACCAGTGTTCCATAGGCCCTACTCTGCACTAGGCACCAGCATCAATTTCATGTTGATGCTAAAGCTGTACAAAGCAAGCTAGGTCAAAATGGAAGCTCTCAAAGCCTGTTGACACCGTGCTTCAGAGCGACAAACTTTGTACATAAATTGCATTCGTACATGTACATGTACATGCAGCTTCATCAGCATCAGTTGGTGAAATCAAAAATTCTTAGAGACATTAAAACTTAATTTTAAAAACTATACTTGTGTGTGCGTGGGTGTTGTATGGGTGGGTGGGCCATCACCGCGTTATGGGAAGTTGTTTACAGTTGGGCAAATTAGGACCGAGTTATGGGGACTTGTTGCAGTCCCCACAGTGTCTTCGGTCCCCATAGTACAACTCGTGTGTAGTCCCCACAACTACAGATCAAAGTAGTCGTGTATGTTTTTTTATGGTACACTGCGGTATTTCCGTAGGCCCTCAAATTGTTCATAGGCCCCCATATTTTTCGTAGGCCCTAGGCACAGTGCGTACTGTGCCTATTGGATATTCCGGGCTTTGCAGGATTCGGTGAGTGAGTAGGGATGCAATCGATGTAAAGTGCCTGGCCTAGGGACACGAGTAACTAGCACAAAATTACACTTAGTCAAATAATCATGACATGATATCCCGACAAGTATTTAGCAATTATTATTGCTTTATTTGTCACCATACATGATTTGTAAGTCAATCCAGGTGAGGTACACAACACACTGATAACAAATGCCCATACTAATAAAGTACTCTTGACTGAACATAAAACTATAAATCAAAAACATTTTTTTTTAACTGAGAAAGAAATTTCCCTCAAAGGCATCTAAGGCAGTTGTAGGACACTTTTTTTTCTCCATTAATTAAGAAATTATGCATAGTATTTCAGTACACAAGGAAAAACAACAGTAAAATAAATGCAATAATGAAATAGAAAACTATTTTTTCAAAAACTAAAAAAACCCAGGATATTCATTCTTCTGACAAAGACTATCAAATGATTTCCAAATGACAGTTGAACACATGGCTATCAAAAAAATGACTCTTACCATAACCAGTAGGCAAAATCGTCAGTGTCTTCACGGAGGCAACTTTCAAGCATTTCAACTGCATAGGTTTTTAAATACTGAAAAGTAGTATCCACTTTTTATTTCAGCAAAAATTGAAACTCATCACAACACAAGCTACATATTTGTAAGCCTTCTTGCCGTTTTGCAATAGGCTGGTTCCATGCTAACATTATCGTTGTGATTTCCTATTCACGGTGTGGGAATCAGACCTAAGCTAGTCCAGCATATAAGTTTCATACCCGCTACCGGTCTCTGCGGATGCACCCCTGTATTAAAATTACCATAGACACCAGTATTAAATGCCCATACTTCAAAATTCTTTTAAAAATACTCCGAACTCTCACAGCTATTTAAGCTGCACAGATAAATAAATGATGATCAACATGTCACCTTTCATTTTCTTTTCATTTTTTGGTGGGTTGACCCTTGACTTTTCGAGAAATTCTCACCCAAAGAAGACGACTCCTATTTTTCCCAAAGCGGAAAAGTAGCCATCTTGAAAAACAATCCCTCCAGAACATGGCAAAATAGCACCACTTTCGAGCCCAATTGCATCCAAAATGCTCAGAATTGCAAACCCAAAGTCTGGGCCAGAAGTTCATTGCCATATGTCTTCAATTCCCCAATTTTATGGCTGTCAGAACTCTCTAATATAGAATATTTTGAGGGTATAACTTTTATTCATGAGCTCGGCGGATGGGTTTAGGCCTATTTACGGGTGTGCACCCCTACATTCGAAGTCCGAAGGACAACGGAGGGACCGGGAACCAGTCTATAAAAACTAGTGCAAAATGTAAATGGTGCCCTCTACTGGTGGCAAGCAAGACTTATGAGACCCAAGACAAAGGCCGTGTCCCAATTACTTGGCTACAGCTTGAAATGACACACAAGTCTCATAGACGTGTGTGTTTTTTCAAGCCATAATGACTTGAAATGACACACAAGACTTGAAATGACACACAAGTCTCATAGACGTGTGTGTCTTTTCAAGCCATAATGACTTGAAATGACACACAAGACTTGAAATGACACACAAGTCTCATAGACTTGTGTGTTATTTGAAGCTGTAACCAAGTAATTTGGAAATGGCCAAAGTAACACAAATTATAGTCTGGTTCCCTGACAAGACCATTCTGATGACTCTCAAAAATAGAACATGACGCAGCAAAGCTTGACCCTCGTACGAGTGGATACTTGAGGTACCATGTCCACATTGGACATGTAATACAGACACTGGGTAATTGAAATTCTTAAATGCAATTGATAAACTCAAAAATCTCAAAACTGATAACAAGCATGACAGGTATTTTACACCCAGAAATACCTGAGCTATCGCGAACATTTCTGAGTGTCAACAAAACTTATGTGGTAACCTTCGGACATTTTCAGAAACAGGCAGGATCTTGCCTTGTCTTGGTCTGAAAATCCTTCGCGGTGCGGTGTTTCAGCACGCACGGGACAGTGGACTGTGCAGCAATTCACCGAAGCGGGCTCCCTTTACACACACCAACAGAGCCGCAAAGGACGTGTGGTTCGTTGACCGAGTCAGGTTCGCAGATGAGAATAGTATGCCTCCTATCGGGACAATATGCGACATGCGTGTTGCTGCGCGGTACAAAGGCTGCACTGTCTGTCTCGTAAATTTCCCCGTTAAGAACGTCTTGCCACCACTCTTGCCCATTTGGTCACGTGCTGTGGCGCTTACCTGATCTAGGATTTGTCAGAATAGTTCGCATATTTGGGTCTGGGAACTAGACTGCAAATTTTCTTTGAAAAGGATATGAAGTCATCTCAAGCAGGAATTTTTCCATGATTTTTTGATGATTGTTTTTTAATCCATCAATTTGTCCAAATCACATTGCGTACCAAAAAAACTTTGGTGCATGTGTGTGCCTGTGTATCAAAAATTGACTTTCTCATTTTTCTCAGTTGAAAGTGAAATTGATATTTATTTGAAGAAGCTAATACCAGCTGAGAAATACTGTAAGTTGAGGTAGAAATAAAAATAAAGACTTACTGATAACATTCAAACATTTCTACTGGTAATGCAGCATTCTTTTTGTGCATTTTTATCGGGCAGTTTGAATTGGCAAAAACGACTGTAAGAAAAATAAAAATATATTTCTTTCCATAGAATGTCTAAAACAGTAGTGCAGACAGCACTAAAACCTGGGAAAACTTTAGAAACTATATGATATTTGCCAAAAATAAAATGCCCATATTTCTTATTTATCCATAAGGTTTTCATTGTCAGCGCAGTTCGGTAATTCTTCAGACCACGATAATTGTTCTATGGGCTCCGTGCACAGGCCCCCTCAACGGTTACAAAGGGAGAGTTGGGGGAGACCACTGGAAGGAACATTCCAACACATTGCCGATGATACCTGTCACTCACGCAAAGACATTCATGTTTGTTTTACATACGCTATGTGGACATTCCTTTGTTTTCGTGTAGTTAAGAAAACTTGGTACAAAAAATAACTTTCCTGAAACTGTGAAAACTCTTTCCACCCCCATTTTTTTTTGGCAGTTAAGAAAACTCGGTACAAAAAATAACTTTCCTGAAACTGTGAAAACTCTTTCAACCCCCAATTTTTTGTGTGTGGATTTTCTTGAATGTTTCTATTCATTCTGCGACGAATAACCCCAACCCGAAAATGCCTCTAAACCTGTTTTCCAGAGAGGGTGAAACGTTATGTGGACACGGCTTAGTCCACATAACGTCAACACAACCTGCATTATGTGGACATCTCTTGTTCACATGTCCACATAGTGACTGTGAGACAAACCCATTACGGGTTTGTGCTCCCTTAAAATATAATTAGTCAATACCCGCAAACCAGGGGCACAAGAACTATTGTCAACCATAGTTCGACTTAGTTAGCCCGAACTCTGTCTAGTTGACGATGGTTGGACTACGTTAGTCGACTATTTGGAACCAGCCTACTGGGCCTGGTCGCATCGCTGGTTATCAATAGCCTCGTTTCGAACGTATCTTCCAGTTCATTCAACAGGTCAAAGAACATAAACAATCCAAACATACCCGTGACCACCACATGTTGACAATGGTTCGACTTGAGTCGTTCGCACTTTAACGTTACAGCGCGTGCGCACTGTTTGACACCAACCAACCATTGGTTGACTAATGGTTGTTGCGCGAATTTGCCCCAGTACGTGCACGCAGTATGTCCCACCCACTGGAGCCTCAAAAGTGGTTACAAAGCGCTGCCCTCTCTTGTCAATGCACAGAGTTCATTCAAGTACCATCCTACTGAACACATTACCAATTCAAAGGAAAAACTGACTCTGACTTGCCGATAAAAACAAACAAACAGACAAACCAACCCATTTTGTCGGGACTAACTGGCCTATATTGAGCTCTTGAGGGCGTTGTACTTCCTAAGTAGCATCCGGACTGATCCAAGCTCTCGGGTCACATGTTCCAGTCGCTGCTCAAGCCGCTCCTAAAATGAAAAAAAAAAAACATTTAATAGAGAAAATGCTGCCATATTGTCCGGGGCACAGAAAGACACCAGCACTTCCCCAATCAGCAAGATTTGGAAACACCAGAAGTAAACACAGAAGTAAAATTATTGTTGGGCGTTCAGTGATTCACGACTAGTGCCCAACAGCTCACTTTGTGAGAGTCAAAATGTTGACTTTCATCGAAATTCATTCTAGCAAGAATAACACAAACTGGACAATTTTCAAAGGCTGGTGGGGACATTTAAATTCTACTTTTAAATGCTCTTTCCAATTAATATCATCTCTTTTAAAATGCATTTTTCCAGGACGTAATATCCCTTTAATGCAAATGCTTCTTTCTTACAAAATGAGGATGTTAATGTGCAACTTTTGGCAAAATCTGTTACCAAACCGTGGCTTCAATATATACCCAGTGGCAGGCAGCCCATACAAAATGGCGCTCATTGTTTACAAACGAAAGAAAGGTCTGTACTGATTTGGGGTCGGCAGGTCGCACATTCATGTGATTCATCATTACTGAGATTCAGGATTGTCAAACTGTAAGAATAAACACTGCTCTCGGCATTTACAGGGTAGGTTCCTCGGAAGGATATTCCAATAACATACCTCATCCTGCCGTGTCTGTCTTGACACCCTTCCTGAGATTGGAACATGACTGAGTGTCGTTTCCAGCTGCAGGATAAGCACATTACAACTTTAATGCTAACAGTATGTGCAACATTCATCACACGTTTAAATAACCTTTCACTGATTGCATGTGGCGTTAACGTAAAACATGACTAGGATGACGAATGAATATCCACAGCGAGACATGCTGGGACCGCAAGTGTAAGAGTTTGATGGTTTTCAAGTCAAAGTATATTATAAAGGTACAATGTATATAAAACATTTGCTTTTGCTGTAATTTTCAGAAATGGAAGGATTTGGGGGTTAGTACTTTATAGCGATTATCGTTCCACCGACCTGTTTTAAGTTTTGTGTTCATGGATGCCGGGGGGGGGGGGGGGGGGGGGGGGGGGGAAGCACTGATCTCTACATAAAGACTGGATAGCAGATAAAGAGCCGCACAATGAATGAATTTGACGCCATATTGGTGAGACCGGCTGGTGATCTACAAAGGACAAGTTTGCCGTCTTTATAGACAGCATGATTTCTTTTGTAACTTCGCGGTTCACTTGACTTATATTTTGGCCACCACCACTGATCAAGGTTTACAATTTTTCTAACGTCGTGGTTTTACTTTTTTAATGCCGCAGAACACTTTTTTGGCATTTTGGAAATAATAATCACTACAGAAATGTGTCCTTTTTAGAACATCATTATGTGTACGTGACCAAAATGCGCGTCAACTGTTGATACAACGCGCGCTGTATATAGGCGTAGAACGTTCGTATTATACGCGGCTACCTTCGTGAGACCGGGGGCGAATTGGTCAATATGCAAAGTCTACTTTGGGAATGGTGTATGGATATCCGCTATCCAGTCTTTATATAGAGATCGGTGGGGGGGGGGGGGGGGAACTGAGAAAAAAATGCTTTTCTTGTAGTCTGGTTCCTGGCCTGACCCTACTTCAGACTAAACGGAGCAATTTATAGACGTCAGGGAATTGTCAGGTCAGGGAACCAGACTAGCTGGCTTATGCCCCTTCACGGGTATGTTACCGATTGCAAACAAAATGTGAACTGCCTAAATTTGGTTAATTGGGGTAGTATTTGAAAAAAAGCCGGATTTTTTTTCCAAAGATGGTTGGCGAACCATCTTTGGAGAATGATACAAAATTCCACTTTTCTAGAAAATGACAGCATACCAGGCGCAACGATTTCACACGATGCTTAAGACTATTGTTTACTTACAGTCAAGTATAGGCATTTCATAATTTTGATAGCTTTATATTTATTTTTGCAAGTGTTGTATATTACCTTTACAGATTTAATTGGGACAATAATTTTCCAAAAAGTCTGCAACAGTCTGGGTGAGGTTTTGACCATGAAAAATGCAAAACGCATTGAAAATAGACCTGCACATCAGGTTTTTTTTTTTTTCCATTTCAAATAATAAAACTAATTACTTGACTTAAATATTTTAAAATTTAGACAGATGATAAAATATATGAGGTCCGAGGAAAGTCTCGGAAAGGTCGAGATCAACAACAACAACATAGGTTCATCAGGAAAGCTAGGCTGGCCTGGTCAAGAGCTGACCGCTGTCTGACTCATCCAATCTGGCCCAATGACCACGCTCAATTATTTCAACCCTAGTGTCCATCTCTATCTGGTCACTTCAATCATGCTTCCCCCAAGGCTTAGAGTCCGTTGGAGTCACTCGCCTTTGTTGCAGGTTAAAAAAATGACCTACATTGTGACAAACTTTCTTAGCCCAAAAGGCAAAAAAAAATTAAAAAGTGTTTGACCCATCAGGAACTGTACTACATTGTATTACATTGTGTTTATTCAGAGAAAAATCCATAAAACCATAGAGTCCTTGGGCATTTTCGGGTGCTACAGGGAGTAATAGACCGTTATCATGTTGCGGCCATCTTGAATTTGTTCCCATTCAAATCAACGTAACCAAAGCAAGGCTGGAAGGGAAAATAGTAAGGTTCCTTTTTGCACAAAAAACATTATCATTCAGCACTGTTATTGGATACAGGAAACATGACTAAAATGGTGGCAGCATGATAAAGGTATACAGGCTGGGTGGTTTGGGACGGTACAGTGACTTATGGGTTAAAGTGGATAAAGAAAGCAGTAAAAACATTTATAAAATATCTTCTATGCGAGTTGTTACTTAACCGGTTGTGGGTAGAAAAAAAGTACTCAGAACGAGAGAGGCACTATAGGGCCACACACAAAACCTCTTGACACAAACAGGCGGCATGGGACATAGGTACCCCCCTCCCCCTATACGCATTGCACACATACACAAGATGGGTATTTAATGGTAATTTGGGGGCTAATCATCCTTACTCACAGCCCAAGATCGAAAGTGTTTGAATTTTGATTTCTTTTTTCTATTACTTTTTACTTTACTGTATTTTATACTCCTTGATGCATCCAGAACACCATACACTGCTCGGGCGGTATTGGGCCGTCCATAAAGTACATACGCATGAAACGCCGACTTTTTACACCCCCTCCCCCTGTGCGCATTGCATACCCAGTGGTTCTCAAGACCATATCACCAGCTTAAGGCTCACCTTGGTGACTAACAATGAAAATGACGAAGATGTTTTTGTGAGAAAGCACATATTATTCTGTGCACCCTTTAAAGGTAATATACAACATTTGCTTTTGCTGTAATTTTCAGAAATGGATGGATTTGGGGGGTTAGTATTTTATAGCAAATATTGTTACACTGACTTGTTTGAAGTTTTGTGTTTGTAGATGTTGGAAACACCAAGAAAAACAATCTTGTCATATAGTTTGATTCCCTGACCTCTACTGAAGATGAAACAGAGCAATTTATAGACGTCGGGGAATTATAAGGTCGGGGAATCAGTCTAGCTGGATTGTACCCGTTCAGAAGTGTTTTATCGATTGCAGATAAAATGCAGACTAACTAAATATAGTAAATTGGGGGCAGTATTTGAAAAAGCCAGTTTTTTTTTCCAATTGGAAATTGATACAAAAATACCACTTTTCTTGAAAATGACAGCACACCAGGTGCCATGATTTTGCAGAATGCTTTAGACTGTCATTCACTAACAGTCCAGTAAGGTATTTCATAATAATTTGGTAGTTTTGTTTTTTAATGTTTGCAAATGTTGTATATTCCGTTTAAGACTCAGAAAGTTGGGCAGTGGTTTTATTCAAACAGGTGACATCATTACAATCATTACATTATAACAAAGAGACATGCCTACATTGAGTGATATTTGTACCTGTCGTTTCTCCATCATGAGCTGGTCTAGTTTCTTCTGATGATCATTGAGGCATTGGACGATATCCAAACTCGTCTCTGTCTGTTTCTGTGATGAACAAGCAATGAAAAGTCCAAAATAAATGCCAAAATGCATCCAAATGAAATAGTTGAGAGAACGAAAGTTTTACATTTCCAATCCTATTTTGCTTACATGCATTCTTGCTCTGTGGAGAATTGAAGAAAAATAATGCGAATTACAATCCACATTCTTTGGATGTGTGTTTACCATTAATACCTATTTTCTTTTTTGTTCCTTAAATTTCTGACCATTTTGTTTCTGAACATTTTGTAGCCTTCAAAACATTAGAAAAGAAAGAAAAAGAATGTTCCCAACCAGGAAGAGAATCTCAGCTCAGGTACAAAAAACAAACACCTAAAAATACAAGAAAAAAAACATTTGAGAGAGACATAACAAAATGCTCCAACAACTCAAAATTTAATGCAACTCTCAACTCAAGTTAATCACTGATTCTGGGTTGAAATGATATTTGTGTTACCTTGGGAGTTTGACTGCGTTGACTGCTTGATGAGCCTAGACCCTCCCAATCTGCCCTGGTCTGGACGTCACCAGCTCGGACTTTGGCAAGAACAAAATCAGCAATGTTTTCTCCTTTGAATTCAAAGAAATAAAATAATATAACCGATAAGCCACTGTAGCGCCCGAAACCGCCTGCCTATTACTCCGTGTAGCATTCAAAACTGTTCAAAGTGTCTACAGTAATATGAACTCAACTGTGAATAAGCACAGTGTCATACAATGTAGTACAGTTGTTAATGGGTTAAATAAGTGTTTTTGAATGTGAACTGCACGGGGCTGCATAGAACATTACTCTCTGCATGTTTTTCCTAGCATGCATTGGTGAAGCAATCCTACCTTTTACTAGCCTTCTGTTATCACTCCTTTTACCATCACCAAAGAGCTGCCTCCTCGGTGACTCCTTCGATTTTCTCGGCCTGACAGAAGAGGGCGCTTTCTCAAACGACTGCCTTGCCGCGGCCGGGCTGCCCCGCTTTGAGGTTTCTGGCGGGCTTTCCTTTGCACCTCTGACCGGAAAAATATCGTGGTCTTTTGGTTTGATGGCTTTGGCTAAGCTCTGCCGGGCCAGTTGCTTGGGAGAGCTGTGCGCCAGGGCCGCACCGAGCTGTGACGCTGGGGCAGGCGGTACTGCGGAACGCTGGGTCCCCTTGTCCGAAGCCGGCCAAATGTGAATGCTTGAATCCTGGCTCAAGGGTCCACCGTCCAGTCTTCCTCTGGGGGATTGGGTGTCAACGAGGTAGGACTGACTAGAATTGTTGGCACTCTGATTATGGCGATGCTCAGTTGACCTATGCGCCCTGTCGTCCGGTTTCTCGGTCACGTGCATCCCATTGAGACCATTCCGGAGAAGTCCCTGATTGTCTCCCGCGTTCATGCTCTCCTCTGCTTTCCATATGTCCATTTGGCGTGCCGCTTTCATCATCGGAGATAGGGGGCGCTCCTCATCCATGTCGGTGTCGAAGGGCACTCCGAGGTCGCTGTGGCGACCCGGGGCCGACAAGTTGGCTCTGTTGTCTTCAGACTGCGTTAGGCTGCTGAAGAAAGACAATTGAAAGATAAGACATTTCATAACAACATATCAGTACGGAGTAATTTTGAAAAGTTCATTTTCAACAGAATTCAAATTGAAATAGAGGTAAATTTGTATTTGATTTAAGTTTGAATAATCATACATCTCAAATAATAATAACAAAAATTTAGCAAATTCTGAGGGTGAGGCATTATCAACAAATATCAATTGCTGATGGTAGCATAAAACTAGCCTCCCTCGGTGGTCAATGGAGCGTTTTCCCTCATATTTCCCAACAGACCACTCCATAGATCACCTCGGAAAGCTAGTTTTACTACTCCACTAAAAGAAGTAAAACAGCCTACTACGGTTAGTGCCATCACTCATTTCTAATGTCTGACTGCAACAGCAGAGATGACCATTGTTTGATTGATGATATTCATATTCAGATATTAGCTCGCAGGTACAACATAAGAACAAATCAACCACTTCTCAATAAATAATCTTCACTTGAAACTTGCCCCAAACCTTCCTCGTATGTACACATAAATCAACAAATTGTCAGCACCTTTCACTTATCATAAATGTTTGGCTACACATCTATTAAGTTCATGCAAGGACCCACAGATGTTAAGCTTTTCCACGAAGGAATCGTCACAACGACACACCTTTCTGTGTCGGACGTAAACTGTAGACTCTCGCTTCCACTCTCCGACACCAGCTTCTCCCCCGTCAGGATGTTGTAGTCGGCGCTGGGCCTCAGGAACTTCCGATCCTCCACGGAGCGGTTTGCGGCAGATGTATCTGGGAGGTTGTTGGTGTCCTTCGCAATCCCTGAGGTGTGGTTTTTGTCCTGTGAGCGTCTGTCGTCTGGTGAAGTCACGGCAGCAGGGACGGTGGCTGATGTGGTATTTGGGCTGGTTCTGGATCTTAAACTGGTTCCACTGTTGGGATTTCAAGAAAAGGTAGGTTACCAGAGATGAGGCAAATGAACCACCAAACCATATTTTTTTTAGCTCTGTATCGTTCAGGTTAGAATTCACTAAGAATACAGCAGACTCTCCATATTCCCCCCCCCCCAAAAAAAAATCTTCAACAAAACTTTAAAAAAACAACCAGTATTCTGTGGGAACGTGGTAACCAACTTTTGGGAGAGGGGTAGGGTTATTGCAAAATGGACTCCGTGCGCCAACATGAGGGGGTGCTTTTTAACCACTTTCGAGAGCCCTGTGGACAGAAACACAGCGTGCGCATACGGCATTTTGTTTGTCTGTTTGTTTGTTCACGTGTGTATAGCGCAAAGTACGAATGTACGTGAGCGTCAGGCGTTGTCAGCAATGCGTTCAAATGTCTCTCCCAGTGGTCTCCCCCGACTCTCTTTTTCTTACCGTTGAGGGGGTACTTGTGCACGGAGCACATACTTTGACAAATTGTTAAGAGAGAAAACAGGTTAAAGAATATCGCCTTTGGAGAGGTTTTAATTGCTTTTCTTTAAAGCTCTAGTTCTTGGCGAATGTTACATATATAGTCTTCCAACAAAATTAATCATCTTCCTGATGATCCACGCCTTGAGAATGAAAGATAATTAAGTACAGAAATCTCACTGACACTGACCTGAGTGACTTGGGCAGACTCTGTCTCTTCACTACTGAACTCTCCAAATCCATCCGTTTCACCTCAAACTCCAGATGTGACAATGTCCTTCAAAACAAAGACACAAAATTTGCGTCAAGTACAATGTATCCATTGTTGTTATTTACATAATTGCACTATTAGTTATCCAATTAGCACGAGTGGAACATGGAATAATGTAGTGCGTCTGTGTCCCATGTACAACTAGGGTGAAGGCCGAGTGGAATATGGGACACAGACGCACTTCATTTTCCGTGTTCCAAGAGTGCGAGTGGGATAACAAAATTATATTCAGGCAAACTTGACGCACTGTCCAAAGTTGGAACACGTTCGCTGCACACAAACTTTTCAGCGGTTATCCTATTACAGGGAATAGCAATCACATCTTCGAATAGCGTGATATGACAAAAGTAAATGTTGTATATCACCATTAAGGGCCACTATTTGACAATTATAGCTCAAAGACTGCTACCTGCTTAAGTCTGCAATCTTTGCCTTGGATTCATACAGCTGTGTCTCCATGTCATGAAGCAATTCCTTGGTGACTTCATGTTTCTCGGCCAAAGCTTTGTATTCATTCAAGACCTATTAGGGGAATAATACGAAAATACCGAATTAGCAACGGATACATAAAAAATGAAAGAATTAAATATTTTCAACGCATTCCCAACACATGGTGTTGATGTAAATACTGTCGGACCTCTTAAGTTCTTTCGAAATTTGTTTGTGTCCTTAATTATTGAATCAAGGAAGGACAAGACAACTTTCAAAACTATGGTTGGAAAGGAATAAATGTTTAATTTTTGAAAATCATAATTGACTGAGTAGGGCAAGTAGAATTTATCACTCACCTTTTTAAGAATTTTTTGGTCGCGGTGTTCATCCATTGCTTGAACATCTTGAAGCTGTTGATATGAAATTAAAAATTATTATTTTTAGCATTATTAAAATCTGCACAACCAAATCATCAAAAATGTGTAGGTTTGGAATTCAAAGAATGCAAAAGTATTCTAGTTTAATCAATAGATTTGTCATAACAATTTCATTTTCATTGCACAGTTTTTCCATGTTAGTTTCGATTATGTCACTTTTGTCACCATTGTACAATAATATTGGCGATAATATGTCCTAAACTATACACAATCACAATAATTAAGTACATAAAGAGAAACAACAAGAGTTGAATAATTGTGTGCCATTTCCTGACGGTCGTTGACATGACAATAGTTCGACTAGAGTTGTTCGCACTTCAACTTCAGTGCACCTGCGCTAGGTACGTCACAAACCAACCACTAATTAACCACTGGTCCTTGCTCGAACTTGCCCCTATTGTCTGCTGCTTGTTGGTGCAAAAACCTGCAGTGTCTACTGCCCTCACCTGGTAGGCCTGGTCCAGTGAGACTTGCAGTTCTCTGTTTCTCTTCTCCAGTGATTGCATATCCAGCTCCTTGTGTCGGCACAGCTGCTTGAGGTCGTTGACCTTCTGCTCAAGGTTGGCCACGGAGGAATCGGTGCTGGTGTAGGTTTCGCCCTGTTTCAAATTTTATTTTGAATAGAAATATTTGTGTTTTATTATGATAATAATAATAATTGTGCTTATATAGTACTTTCCATTGTATCAATGACCTCAAAGGGCTTTGCATTTATTCCCCTGTTCATCAGGCTATGGGACCACGCGGCAGCCGATATCAGCGCTCAATCGGTCCTCGACCCTCACAGGTACCCATTCATACTCCTGGGTGGAGAGAGGCAATTGTAGTTAAGTGTCTTGCCCAAGGGCATAAACACCATGTTCCTGTTATGATTCAAACCCACGCACCATCGTCAGAGATGAAACTGGCATATGGCAAAAAAATCGGAAAATATGCCGAAGAAAAATACGTGTCCGAAATCTGGGCCGCGCTGCATTACACACATGTACATGCATGTACAATACACTACATGCCCAATTTCCGGACACCTACTCCTGCTTTATTTTCGATTCAAACAAAATTTTACGATGAAAAAAATTGGTCAGTGTTTTCATTGCATAAAATGCCCGAATTACGGTTAGAGTAACGGAGTCATCAATAAAGAAGTTCACTTCTTACTTGAGAAAGTCTAGGGAAAAGTCCGAAAGACAAGGCACCGTTCATGGTGCATCAATCATGTCCATTCAACCACACAACTCCACTACTCCACTTGCATTCATACGTGGGGAAAAATCAGGTATTATCGTCTTTCTCTTCTAACAAATGCCAATGAAATGTTTCGCTAATGCTCTCTTCGCTATCCTCGAGATAATCATCATGATTTTTAAGGCATTGTATTTTGTATAACTAAATTTGAAACCTCCGAAAATCGCACAACATAATGATTTTATCCACTGGATCGTTCACAAGGCTACCCGTTCGGGGCCGTTCCCGACCGGCCATGTGCTAGCAGACGGTACGGTGCGGTACGTACGCTGGTACTCATTGCGTGCAGTACATGCACGCACGTGCGACACAGTGATTTTTCCATGTCGCCTGTCAATGTTTAACCTTTTGTCCAGCCGGAGAAGGCTCCAATCAGTGTTATGCCCTGTGTTTCTACCGTTGAAACACTCCAATAACGACTGGTGAAAGAGATTAAAATTGCGTTCGCGATGATTTTAACGTGCCATTTCCATCGACTTTTCATCGACTTTTCTTCGAAATTATGATTGAAATAAAATGACATTTTGTGAGAAAAATCCTTACTAAATCAAATTTTGTGGGAAACACTGTAAAAAAATCGGAAATTTCGTTGGAAAATTCAAAAAGTTGGTTTTCCGATTAAAATCGGAAAAGTTTCATCTCTGCATCGTACATGAGTCAAACACCGTAACCACTGGACCATGGCGTTCTACCTGAAAGCTGTATCCTCTCTGAGTGATCCCCATTTGCTATTTTCCAAGGTTTGCACACAAATTTGACGTACAAAATCATTATTTAAACTCATTCAAACTGAATGCTTATGGCTCCCAATCCAACATTGATTATTTTTTTTTTAAACATGATAAACTTACCAGTCTAGATTCCAGAGCTTTTACTGTGTTTTCCAGATCCTCAATCCGGCTGATATTGGGAAAAGAATAATCAAGTAGTTATGTACAATCACGTATAAAAATAAATTTACAAATATGATAAGATTGAGGATCTTGCAAAAATTTCATCCACAAAATGGTACGGAATGGGTATTTTTCAAAGGACACGCGAGGATTATCCAACGCACCCCACAATCAACTCAAGACCACGCTCACCTATTGGCCGATTTCAAGGCTGCCTCCAATCTGACGCAGTTGTCCTGCAACCTCTGATTGGTTCGTCTCGTGACCTTGTCGGGGGAGTGGTCTCGGAGGGAGGCGGCTTCTGTCAGCTTGTTCTGCAGCTCCTGGATCTCGCTGTCGTAGTAGGCCTTCAGGTCAGCGATGTGGCGGGCATGTTTCTCACGCAAATTCAGTCTCAGACTGAAAGGAAAGGGTAAAAAATAATTTTGGGAGAAAAAAATAGATAGGAGAGCCACCGAATATTGTCTAGCTAACCTAAGCAGTTACTTCTAAAAACTTTTAATAAGGGAATAAATGAGTGCCTTTGAGGTTTTTAACACTCTGTTTAAGACCAGTTGGTGTCTGGATGCTGATAATTACCGTAGGCGAGGGTAATTATCAGTATCCAGACTGCAACCGGTCTTAAACAGAGTGTTTAATACGACCAAACACATATTTATTCCCATTCATTAATACCTTTTCGCTTATCAAAGTAAAATTTTGTGCCGCTCAAAGCTGCCACTGTGGTTGTTGACAACAGTGCAGGGAACCAGCAAAATTTGTTAAAATGCCCAGAAGAGGACAATATCAAAAATAATATTGTCCTCATCCAGGTACTTTTACTGACATAACATTGCACTCATCCTGGTACTTCTTACGGAAGCATACAATACGCTGATTTAGTTTTGCCACTGGAAGCCTGATATAAATAATCATTCATAAATACCTCAGACAGTTTAGCCATTCCTATTGGTCGAGAGCCCGTCACGTGGCCGGTATTAAACGGATGATAAAGACATGGCTAGCTGGTCTTAAACACTTTTCCAGTGTCACAATAAAATATGGACTCCTAAAAATCCAGTGCCTCTTATCGTGTCATTGGTTGAACGTTCACAATCCTCACGTAGGCATGCGCAACACTACCAGGGAGTTAGAATTTTATAGTTCTTAATTCAAAACGCAACGCGCCAGGTGCGTTCTGCGCGACATCGCGTAGAACATGATACGCGCGCGTCAATCTCCATAAAAGGGTTGTTTTCATCTTACTCGCCAGCTGAACACTCCATTATTTTGCAGGAGGGATGTTTCAAAAAGCATAAAGTGAATTTGTTGAACAAAATCGGAATGTTTTGAACGAATTATATGATTTTTTTTTACCGAAAAGGTATTTATGAATGGGAATAAATATGTACTCCGTCGGTATTTATCACTCTGTTTAATACCACTTAGAGTCTGGGTGCTGATAATTACCCTCGCCTCCGGCTCGGGTAATTATCAGCACCCAGACTCTAAGTGGTATTAAACAGAGTGATAAAAACCTCCGGAGCACACATTTATTCCCTTATTATAAATACACGGCATCTCTTCATGTAAGTTATATCTTTCACGTTTTTCACCAAGCTAAAGGAGGTAAAGATAATGTGACCCTCAGGAGCAAAACCAGGCCAAAGTCACACGTCTGTATTTTGAGATGCAGTCGATAATACAGCCCATAGTATATAGAAAAATAGATGAAAACTGGCAAATGAAAAAAATCTAGAACTTCGTCAGATTTTGTAGGATTCCCATATTCTATACATCACTGGAAAACTTATTCAATATCAATCCCTTTCTAAAGAGCCTAAATTCCATTTAAAAAATTTGGTTTAAGTGACTGTTGTTGTGCAGTAAATAACTTTTGTAGTCTAGAAAACCAGCAATTTAATATAAAATCCTTGGGGGGGGGGGGGATAAAATAGCATTGAGAGTAAATCTGTAAAAATAAATTGAAAACACGGACATCGACAATTGGGAACAGTTTGTTGACTGCCACTGAGTCAAACATACTTCTTAGAAAATTTGTATACTGAAGCAAAAACCAAATGAGAATCAGCCACAAATATTATTAATAATGTTAAATGTTGGCATGTACACTGTTTTAATGAGCAGAATTTGTGTGCTCTGCACATTCACGTATGTACCTTGATGTAAGTTGTGCATCCTCTCCCGCGTTGCCATCATCACCAGATCGGCGTGGAGACGAACTCTGACCTGACACATGAGGTGACCTTTGCCCTGAGCCAGCGGCTGGCCATTGGACAGCGAGATCAGGTGATCCTTGGCCGTTGGGGTTTGGAGATCTAACCGCAGCCGACATTTCTGGTTGGTGCCCCTCCTGGATTAAAAAAAATACATGGTTAGGACGAAATGTTTCTTTTTACAATTTGCTGGCTGCCCACCAAATAAAACTTAGTTAAAGGTACAGATACATAGGTCATTTGGGGGTTTTTTTGTGCATTTTTTTTCTCAAAGTCTTAAGTTGGGTGCAAAAGCACTAACTTGTTGAAATTATAGCTTAGTCGATACTTTCCATTTGGGGGAAAACAGAAAATGCACGCACAATTTTGGGGTTGCGTAACTTGATTCCGTAACGAAAAATGCATCCGCGGGCACCCTGATTTTGTGCACCTTGTTTTGTTTTAAGTATCAAACGCCTCAAAATCTTAAGAAGGATGCATAACAACGAACTTGTTGAAGTTTCGACTGAATGGATACTATACATTTTCAGAGAACAGAAAAAACGTATGCATAATGTCTTTGGGTCTCGCACTTCGATTCCGTTGCTAACGCACTTTCTTAAACCACATTCAACGATCGCTGTCTTCTATTAACTAACAGCATTTCAAAGTGGAATAATTCCACAGGGTATTTGGTACCAGTCCTATCTTCACTTTCAGCAAGGATTTGCTCGTTAAATCAGTAGGTACACTTCCAGTAATTTCAAATGTTCCTACGTGCCTTTAAGAGCGCCCTCTACAGCTCACACATGAATCAAATGTAAGGCAAGTCTGGTACCTGTCCTCTTGCAGCGTCTTCCATTGAAACGTCTGGCAAGGCTCTGTATGTGTCTTCCTCGGCCTGTTTCCAATAAGTGAAGTCGGAATACGTTGTGCTGGTATTGTCTGAGGTAGGTGTGCTTCTCTCTGCATCTGATGTAGAGATAGTCATTTGAAAATGTGTAATTCAAAAGATCAGTTATCTCATGCCCACAAGCGCATTGTAAAACAGGCAAAAATAAAATTGTGGAATTATACTGGCTGGCACTACATTTTTTTTGTGATTTACTAAACTTGTAACAAAGCAAACGTCATGAAAGGTTATGGTAATCGTCACTGGATGTGTGGCACATGCTTTTGAGTAAGTTCAGTAGTGAAGAAAAGTGAGGTTAGAGAAAGCGATCACTGAACTTATGACAATCTTATACCTGGGGCTGACCAATCAATGTTCAAGTTTGACTGAAGTCAAGAGGTCACAGACTTCAATTGATTGACGTACCATGCTAGTAATGATGTTGGTTGTGCTAGTTATGATGCTAGTTATGCTAGTTACGATGTTAGTTAAGCTAGTTAGGGTCAAGGTGCAGATGTAGTAGACACAGCAATCAAGGTGGGGCTGGCCTAGTGGTTAGGGTTTGTGACTCATGATCAGAGGGGTCAGGGGTTCAAATCCTGCTGCTGGCCATATGTCAAGTATGTTTTGTCCTTGGGCAAGCCACTTCACCCCAACATGCCTCTCTTTATCAAGGAACATACAAATGAGCACCAGCATTAGTTGGGGAGTAACCTGCGATGGACTTGCATCCTATCCAGGGGAAATGTTCTCAGTCTTTCCATGCAAAGCAAACCAGAAATAAACGCTGGTCTGAGGAGCCACAGTGGCCTGGGACAGACTCTATTGTATACATCAAGCAAAGGACCTTTAAAAAGGCCTTACTCACCCATCGAATCAGCTTCCTCGCCAGGCTCTTGTCCTTCATTGCCTTGCGTCACCCCTTGTATGTCCCTGTGCGTCTGGGTGATTCTCTCCTGTTGTCTGGACAGGAGGTGGCGGAGGACCTCTTGCTGCTGTCCCTGTTGGGTCTGAAGCTCCGCCCACTGCCGTTGCATGTGTTTCACCTAAAAACAAAATATTGTAAAACTACACTGACCCTTACCCTTCTAGATGCTAGACAGTGCAACATGTGTAAACGTCTGTAAGACCTTGATGCATTGGGCCATCAACGCAAGTGCCTTAACTTCAAGTTCTTTAGCGCTCTTCACATTAAAACAATTTCATTGTTGTATCTTGTTGCAGTTTGCAACTGCAGACTCTGAGGCAGATTGGCTTTGGGAATTTTGACCTGTAGAATCTTGTCACATGGGCCTCATGCACAAGTTGGCCATTTTTGTCGTGTTCCCTGAATCTATTTCATAAATTGTGAACTGTTGAATGGGATGGTACCAGACTATTCATTCACTACATGTACATCCTCACTTTCATTCTTTTTTTAAATGTGGCTTAAAACATTAAAGTATGTTTAATCACAAATTTTAAATTATTCATCAGAGCAGACTGGTATTAATTTGTTACGTCATTGCTTTTGTTTCTCTACACAAGTTCCAAAAATAAAGATTTTACCTCACTCTCAATCCAATATGGCCGACTCGTGAATAAGCCCCATTGGGTAGGTTTCTCACCTTGATAAGAGTTGCATGTTGTTACTATGAGCTAACTCTAACTACAGTAGCCTTTTATAAGATCCTTCCTTAATCCTAACCGTACCAAATTCACCAAACTTTTACACACTGGTTTTGGTGGATTTTGGTTGATATGGTACAGTATCATAAAAGCCACACATGTAACATGTAGTTTCCATTAATTTAAGTTTTAAGCCATTAGTACTGAATCTATCAAAATCCACCAGCATTGTCACCAGTGGCATCAATCAAGCACTGTGTGTAAAGTACAGTACACGTGTATTAAATTGTGGCTGGGCTCTTCCCTCCTCACTGATGCAAAACCACCAGTGGGATTTTGTAGGATCTGGGTTAGGGTTAACAATTCAAAAGTTGATGCTTTGGATCGTGGTACATTTCATAACTACCAGTTACAGCAATGGGTATTTTACCTGTAAAGCATACTGCTCTTGCAACTGCCGCTGCTGTTGGGCAAAGTGTGTCTGCAAAATGAGGAAACGATCATCTTCTCCCCTGCTCTTCAGCATTTGTGGTTCTTGGAGATTTCTTTCTGGCATCTCAACTCTTGACTGTTCCTCTTGACCAGTTATCTCCTTTTCAGCTTGTTTCTGTTCCACGACATCGGACCAAGTTGTCATCAGTGTCTCACTGGCGTCTGCCAGGGAGCCTTCTAATGTCACTTCGCTGTCCCCTGAAGAAGAGTACGTGTCTTGCTGGCTGCTTTCTGAAGGGGTTAAACTTGGCGACAAGGCATTCTTGTCTTTCCCATTTGGGCTTCTTCTTGCCTGCTTCCTGGCTTCCTCTGGATGTTTTCCTTGTTCTGATGAGGCTTCATCTGGGGCTGACTTGGTACCATATCCCAGAGGTTCCTGGTGTTGCTTGGTGATGAGGTCCTCCTGCTCTTGGGTGAGACTAGCAAGTTGCGCCTGGAGTAGCTGGACCTGTCGCTCGTGGTGCTCCCTCTGCAAGATCACCTGCTGCCTGTGCTGCTGCTCCAGCATCCCAAAGAGATGCTCCCACCTCTCTTGCTGGCCCCTCCTGTCCAGACCCGGAGAGATCTGGGGCTTCGCTCTTGGCAGCCTTGCCTCCTCTGCCTCGGACTGGCTGGACACGTCAGCATCGTTCTCAAATCCGTCTCCATCACTCGACAGCAGACCTGTCATCAGAGAGCCGAAGGGGCTTGAGCCGAATGGCCCGAGAGATGGCATGAATACAAACTTAGCCTGTGCCATCCCCGGTGCTCCTCTCCCAAACATTGAAGGTTTCGGCTCTTTAGTGAGATCAATCTCTTCAATGATGTCTTCTGTGTCCTGCTGATGTTGATCCAGTGAGTCATCATTCTCGCTCTCACTTCTGTCTTGACCAGCATCATCAGAAGTCTGTCCGTCCCTTTGAAATCCATTTCGGACTCCAGTGTCTTTTGGTTTCTCTTGAGTCTGTCCTGATTTTTCACCTTCCTTTTTACCCTGCTGACCATCCTGCTTCCCTGATCGCTCAAGCCCAAAGGTCTTCCTCAAGTACTGAGATGAGAGCAACTCTTGATCGCCAAAGGCATGATTTTCAGGGATGCCTCCATTTGTTAAGGGTTCCTGATCGTCATCCTCATCCTCAGAGACCACTGCAGTGTGTTCTCCTTTGACAGGGTGGTATTTCCTAGAGCTTCTGGCAGTATGCGGTTCGCTCTCCCACGAGCTGGTGTCGGCATCTGTTGTACCCATTTCATCCTCATCCATTTCTTCCTGTTCCTTGGAATTCCCTGCTTGTTGTGCTTGAGTCTGTGCTGTTACTGAAGACATCTTTGGTCTATATTCAGTGTATGTACCTACAACATCAAGTACAAAAAAATACCATGAACCAGTTTTATACCATTTTTATTTGTCCTAATGTTGACATGATTTATTTATTTATTATTTTTTAAAAACTTTATCTTAATTTTAACAACAGTGATGACGACTTAGCCTAATCGTGCTAGCTTGGAAAACCAAGTTCTAGTCTCATGACATACGGGAAATTTCTAATGCCTATTGGCGAATTTCCCATGTCATGAAAAAAATTGAAACTAGAACTGGGTTTTCCCTAGCTGGAGTTACCCAGCCCTGAGTTACCCAGCCCTGAGTTAGTGCATGACTGTTTCATGCACTAATATGAGGTTTACCACTCGCATCACAGCTGCGGTACTGGAACCGCAACCGATAGTGCATGAAACAGTCATCGGGTGTTACGCTTCCGCGTGACGTCATGCGCCAACAGCCAGCGCAGCCGGCAAAAACGACAAGTTGACAGCCTGGTAACCGACCGCCATTCATTGTACACAATTTTTTTTTGTGCACAAACCAATTGCGGTCCTGGCCATGCCTGCAAGGTTGTCAGGTTAGCGGTTATTCCTCCTGTTTTCACTGCAATTGTAGGCTGAATCTTCATCGTGGATCCTTTTTTTACTTCAAGGACCTGTGTAATGGTTATTCCAGGCAAGTTTGGGGTGAGTTGCAGTTGCAATTAGTGTGTAACGGGGACAAAATTGAACATTTTCCAAAAAAATTGTTGGGGACCTGACTACCAGACTACGCTCGGTAACCTGCTCGGTTACGAGAAAAACTAGCTCCAGCCCTACATGACAACCCAATGATAAAACTCAGGGCTGGGTAACTCCAGCTAGGTTTTCCCAAGATAAATCGTGAGCTATCGTGAGTAGGTGGCCTACTCAGACAATGAGTGTTATTCATTTAACCAATTGGTATATTATTAGTGTTTGCCCATTATCCCAACCTGATTCCCTCAGCCGGGCAAGCCCCCCCCCCCCCCCCATCAGGGTGCCTCCCCCCCCCCCCAAAAAAAATATTAAATCTGCGGACAACCACTGTCTGCACTCCTAGCAGCACTGCAGCCGATGCATACTCCTAGAGCTATGAGGCTCCACTAGCTGGAGTTACCCAGCCCTGAGTTTTATCATTGGGTTGTCTATAGACAACCCAATGATAAAACTCAGGGCTGGGTAACTCCAGCTAAGGCTCCACGTAGTGGAGCTGTTGTGCCCATTCTTGAAAATCACGCATTCTCGAGAATGGGCATGCACATTCTCGAGAATGGGCGCGCATTCTTAAGAATGAGCGCCCATTCTTAAGAACGAGCACGCGTTCTTAAGAATGGGCGCTCATTCTTAAGATTGGGTGGGAATATCACGTGCACAATTTATGAATTTTGCCCAATCTTAACAAACATTGCACGACATAATTATGTTAAATGAATTGTATAGCGGTTAAAAGGGAAACAATTCATATAAAGAGGAAAGAAAATGTGCTATGCTTCTGTACTCGTATAACTACGATAATTTGAATCAAATTAAACCTGTTATTATTGCTTTTTTCTGCCCACTATGGGAAGTTTTGTAATAACGGAGGACTGGGAACTAGTCTGGGAAGTGCTTTGTTTAGGCTAGACAAGTTACAAGTCCCTGCATGTATCATGCAGGGGGTCGCACTAAACAGCGTCAACACAGCGTCAACACATGACAGAAGCGTCAACACACCGTCAACACATCCAAAACACATTCTGAATTGACAAAAAGGGCATATAATTATGAAACATACAATAAAAGAGAATTTCCATTGGATTGAGTTTCCATTTCGTTGTGAAAAATATCGTATTTTCACGCGAAAAAAATGACCTTAACTTGCACGGCCGTTGTCCGCCATCTTGACTTCGCACAAAGCTTGGACTACACCATTTCAAGTAGGGGTGTGTAGGTAATGACATTATCTTGTCATAAACAACAGAGGGCGCCTTGCTGCAGACTAGACAGAGGGATACCAGATCTGTGTGAGGACTAAGGATCGGAGGAGTGGTAGATCATTATTGTGTTTATGTTTTGGTCTTTGCAGATATTTTTAACACTGGCGACCCCGGCCGCGTCCCTCTCTGTTGGTTTATTGTACAACGCTATCACCCTTTAGAACAATGGTATGGTCCGCGCTGCCACTGAGGCAACATGGCGGGTGTTCGGCAGCCGATTTCGGAGCGGCACGGAGAGCCAATTTTCTTGAACTAAAAATCGCAATTTTCAGACGTTTAACCTATTGATTTTAAGCACAAATCTTGTTTCTGTCCATACTGTATGGGTTACATACTGCTTTTGTCAATTTTAATGCATTTTGGATGTGTTGACGCTGTGTTGACGCTGTGTTGACGCTTTGGAGTGTGTTGACGCTGTGTTGACGCTGTTTAGTATGACCGCATGCAGGGACTAGATAGAATCCAGCTCTGCGACGTTATGGTGGGATGTGAACAATAAATTGGTGGCAATTTAAATGGGAAATAGCATTAGCACTATGGGATGTCGCAGTATTCATTCTCATTCTTCACATTCTTCATTCTTACCCCCCCCCCCCCCCCCGCTTTTATTATTCCAAAAATCAGAATTCTTTGCACTAGTATTATTATTTTATATTATATTATATTTTCCCGGTCCCCCCCCCCCCCACCCCATATCAATACGCCTTTACTTATCATATCCACTCTACTTTTCAGCGCCTTGCGTTGCAACAGTATAATTATTGAGAATCAGTGAACGAGGATGCAGCTAGACTTGCCAAGCGCAGCCGGTGCTCGGCATCGACAAGACCGTTATCTTGTCGCGCATTCTCAAGAATGTGCGCTCAATCTGGAAGAGTTATTTTTTGCCAAGATTGAGCAAGGATCCAGTTGCACATTCTCAAGAATGTGCATGCCATTCTCGAGAATGCGTGACTTTCAAGAATGGGCACAACAGAGCTACGTGGAGCCTCAGGCTGCATCCGAATCAGTTGTCTAGAGCTAGGTCTAGGTCTGCGCCCATAGAAAATACGCGGGGACGCGCTGACAATAGACGTAGCCGTAGCTCTGGAAGCCCGTTTCGGACACGGCCCTCATACTAGTTCTAGGAGTAGCCGATGCAGGCATTACGAGGCCCGAGGATAAATATTTCGTGCAAGTAAGTAAATTAGCAACAGTCTTACAGTACATTTTATAATATTAATTCATAAAGATGAACGAATTTATTTGTTCATTTTAAGGGCCTTTTCTGTAACAAAAAGTACCTTTATTTGATAGATTTTGTCGATGAAGCTGGAGCACGTTTACGAGCTCTCTGCAGTGCTATCGCTACGGCACGCGCGTACGGCATTGTACGGGAAGAATGTTGTCGACGTGTGTGCCGATGCTAGGTCTTTTATCATTGGACAAAATGTATCACATCGTGGATGAAGAACCAATTGGCGAGCGCGTAAGATGTCTCATTAGACCATACACAGGAGGAGGGAAACACAAACAAAGAAATCCAAGATGTCAGCGCCCAGTTGACGAATGGAGTTGGGCAGTTGTGAGTGAAATATTTTCGATTTTCAAGCCATAAATGAACTCGATAAACAGTTATTTCAGTAGTTCCCCCTGTTTTTAGCCTACTTGTAGCCGATTTTATAGAATGTGATTTATTCTATTTTGCTGAGTGCCTATGCTATTAAATTATTGGGGTATGGGGCCTAAGCCCAACGCAAACACCGCTTCCTAGACGTGGCAGAGCGCCCTCACTACGTGGAGGGGTTTTTGTTATTGAAATAACCATGGAGGAAGGAATTACGAACCCTGCCCACACAGTTAAGGGCTCTCCTGTACAATTTCAAGTGACAAGTGACGAATAGGTGCACTTAGAGAATGAGTGTTGGGAAGGAAAAATCTCAATGAAAAAAATTAACATACAAGAAAAAAGAAAGAAAAAAAACCCAAGGGGAAAAACAACATTTGTGAAGTGATCCAGTCAAGATCAGCAGTAGCAATCAAACGGCTTGGTTTTTAAGGACCAAATTTGTTTTGGGTACCCCAAAATTACACACAAAAAAGGAAATATTCCTATGTGTAGGCTATTTGTGGGTAGATATTTATATTCTACCTTTTAATGTTTTTTCAATAATATTTTGTGAGAAAAATGCATTTTAGAATGATGCATTCCTTGAAGTAGGGCATACCTACATTGTAGATGTCTACAGTTTCCATGTAATTTCCGGAGAAAAAAATTGACACTAAATATCTGTGTCTATCGAAATCAGGATTTCCTGACATTAATATATACACTGCACACCGCCTTCAGTGATAAAAAGTGTGACTATGTCTACTTATTCTAAATAGGGAAGTTTATTTCCATTTTCCATGTTTTTGTGTATATGTAGCTTTGACGGTGACTGCTCTAGGTTCCGACACCCCTATGTTCCGACAACCTAGATTGTGTTACTCCCGGTTAGGGTTACGGTTAGGGTTAGGAATAGGAATATGTGCAGTCGGAACATAGGGGTGTCGGAACATAGAGGTGTAACCGCTTTGACCATGGTTTGACTGTGTAAACCCCAACAATTTTTTGGTGTATTTTTTCAGGTTTGTGTCAGCCTATGGATGACTGCAAAAGTTTATGTCGCTTGAGCTTCTCAACTTACCATTACTGATGTGCATTGACGTCTTGCTCTGCAGACTTTGGGTTCAATCTATTATTTCTGCGATCATGTCGACATGGCCCAGAAGCTTGTTTCACTTGCCCGTCTGTCAGTCAAGGTTTTTATTGAAAATGAGCCGAAGTTTTGCTCAAACTCCATCAGATGGATTAAAAGTGCTGGTATTTTCTTCAAACAACTATCTTGGCACAACAGTTAGGGAGGCTAACCAATGTAGATGTTTTTCAACAAGTACAAGTGCAGGAAAATTTGCAAAGTTTCATTCAACTTGGATAACAAACTGCCTTGGGCCACTTCCGCGATGCAGACTTGCTATCCAACAAACTGGAAACTCTAGTAGACATTTATTGCACGCTCAGTGGCCAAACTTGATGAATTGCGTCGCGGCCTCTACAACTACGACGAGAGACAGGACGAGGAATAAAATCAGGAAGAAACTTCCCGAACTAAACGAAACGGATTTGGAAGAGACGTTTGTCCGAGGTTCCGGGCCTGGGGGACAGTCTACGAACAAGACTAGCAACTGTGTGGTTCTTAAACACATTCCGACTGGTATAACCATCAAGGTACATTCCAATAAACTTCCGTAATGAATAATTACGGTACCTGTTTTGAACTGTTGTGTTTGCATGTTAAATTAATTTGTCCACCACTTTTTATAATAAATTTAACAATTGATATGAAAACTTTCCGCATGATTTGGCAATATAATTGGATCTACCTTTAAATATTGTCGTGTTGCAATTAAGTTTTTCTTCATTAGATGTGCCTAAAAATTTTCGACACTTTTAGCCTATTTTAAGGAATATGAGTGTAAACATTAGACAGCGGGCAAAAAAAATTTGTCCGATATACGAAAGGACGAACTCATTTGTTGTTTAAGAGGGCAATACATAGAAACGGTTGAAAAGTAGAACATGAGAAACAAAACGTTGACCTCAATGATTTTGTTGCTCTTGATATGATGAAATTACAAATATTGTTTCAAAGATGCATTCCCGTGCTATTTGGAGCTTTAGAACGAGACATGGAACGAAAACGTCCACCGATGTGTGGTTATTGAACTACTTCTTTACAAAATTTGAACTATTTGCGGCCACAATAATTCGGCTATCACAGGGCGGGTTCATTTGTGCGCAAAAGGAAAGCCCCTTTTCAGAGGATTGCAGACACTCAAAATCTGAACAAGGATAAAAAACCTACAAATTAACAATTTGTTAGTAGAATCTATGTTTCGGATTTGGGAACTTTAATTCCGTTGCTGAAACCTTTCTTTTCTTTAGTGTCACCAAACACGTTCACAGACTGAGAACCAAAAGATAGCCAGGGAGCTGCTCAGGGAAAGACTGGACGTGCTCTATCACGGCGAGGAGAGCGTTGTTCTCCAACAGAAGAAGGCCCATCAGAAAAAGGTCGACGAGAAGACACGCCGGACTAAAGTGAAGCTGGAGAAACTCAAGAGGATGAAGGAGAAGTTGAATGAGGACGAGATGTAAATCAAGGAAATGCTTCCGTGTGGATTGAAAGATTTATGTCAAAATTCAAATTCAGCTAGTATTTTTGTATTTTGTTTCCAGGGTTTTGTTTCTCATGGGGTTTTGTTTGATGCATACAGATTTTGACAATTGACCAATGCTTGCTTCTTACTGTATCGTGCACGAAGGCATTTTTGGCTCCAGGTTAAATGAGGAATGCAGCCCCTTTATAGTTAAAAAAATATTTTATTAATAACAGCAATTGATCATTTCATCATGGGTACAGTAAATAAGTTTTGGCATCAAAAAGTAGATACTCATCCAAATTCCTATTTGAGCTGGTTTCATAGATAAAACACAAATCAGCTTTTTCTTCAAATAACTACTGGATATCTCTGAAATTCTTAAGCTTGTATTTGCCAATTTAACAACATTGTCGGTGTTTAATTTTCAATAAATGTCCAACATAACACACATCTCGGCATTTTACAAAAAACTTTTATTAGCTATCACATCATTACACCAGAAATAACTTAATACTGTGGACATGTACACAGATGTAGCAAGACTTTGAAGATAACCACTTTAATGGGAGACATCACAGGTTTTTTTTCTTCGTTTTTTTTACAAACAGTTGACAAATAGGAGCTATTGTACAGTGAAAGCTACAAATATGACATTATTTTTACACATGAGATTACAAAATTTTGCACTTGATGGATGCAAATTCACAGTTTATTCCCATCCTAGCAAAAAAAGTATCTTGGTCTATATTTAAAGGGAACCCAACCAAGGTGGTTAAAGACATGATCCAACAGGATTCTAGATATATTATGGGTAATTCATTTCTAATTGAGAGGGGTTAGCTCTAACAATTTCATTGTAGACAAAACACGGAGCTGTTTTGAGTGTTTTGTAGTTTGCACATTTATATTACCAAAAGAATTAATCTGGCTTTAACCATTTTTGAGAAGTTTAAAAAAAACCTTTCATTTTTTTAAATCTTCAACTGAACCACAAAGGGAAACTGACTAGGTGAACTGTAACGGCTGAGAGAGGTCGCAGGTTCAAACTCCGCTCCAGTCAATTTCTTTGTTCAACTTTTCAATTTTTTTAAAATCTGACATTGCATTTTGATGACGTCTTGATGACAATGTCACACGTTTTCACCATTCTTTGAAAATATGTATGACCTACACAATTGTATGGGTACAACTGTGCTTTTTAATAAAGGAGCATTTCATACTCAGAATGTTCCCATTACTTCTGGAAACCTCTTTTCATATGGCGCGTTTCCCATAAGGACACAGAGGAAGTGTAACCACTTCTGGAAACCTAGTGTTCCAGGGCTTTCCCTGTTAATAGTGGAGTATTTTCAGCATCTTGTGAGATGCTCTGAATTGTACACTGATGTAACACTTTCATCAAAGACAAAATGTTCAGCAAGTAAATATATCGCAAGCTCTCCAGGGTCACGGAATACATCTCAAGTAAATAATTGGTTGTTAGCAGGTGGAAAAAAACTTTAAAATCCAGTGTCCAATTTCATGGAGCTGCTTAGCAAATTTTATGTGCTGAACAAATATAAGCTGGAAACCAGTAACAAGCAGTGTGCACTGCATGTCATTTTGGCTGGTAACCCAGTTTTGCTTAGCAGATATTTTTTGTGCTTAGCAAAAGTTTTATGCTTAACAGTAGGAAAGAGCCAAGTCGGTGTTTTCTATTACAGAAACTGACAACGAAGTAACATTACTTGGCGAATCCAGAGTTGGCTGATCAGGGACAATTTGGCTTTTTAAAAAAATTGTGTGGGAAAGCATATATATTACAGTTTATCATAAGGAGACGACACGGGCTGCTATCATGACCGGGCGCTGCGCTCTGTCTCTGCTAAGCACTCCCTCACCAAGGCCCTGGCGTGAACGATACCTGCAAAAGAATCAGAAGTGAACAAGTTTAGAAAACCGTTTTCGCTTAAAGATTGTGAAAAAAAGGTTTATCACCGGTATGGACTGGCATATATTAGTTGTGCGTACATACTTTGCGCCACATGCTCGCGAACCAGTATGTGCACATGGTTCGTCCGTCCCACTATCTGTCTTTTCTACAAAGTAATGTTCCATAAAAATATCCTTCAGCAATTAACAACCTCTCTAACTATTAACAATATTGCTACTTGATGTCTCTTACCCCTTTTGAGTCTCTCAGTAGCTGTTCTGCTACCGGAGTAGGTAGGCCTGATGTCTCTGCCCATGTCTTCAATGACTGCTAGGAGTTCAGCATACTTGCTCTGGGGCGCTACAGTACGGTTGGATAATGACAGTACTGGAGAAATTAAAGAGAAGAAAGGAAAAAACACACATACAGGGTTTTAATCCTCATTCTGGCAAGGGAAGACATTCTAATGATAAGTAGCTGTATACAAAAGCACAAAATTAGTTAAAAAGTGTGGAAAATGATATATTTTATCATTATTGAATTTATTATGGTGCCGTAAAACATCTTTCCTAAATACCTAAACTAAAGCCATTAAAATTCTCTCTAAGGCCGGCCTCGGGCCAATCTTTTTTTTTTTTTGGGCGCTGCAACAGAGCTAGCTTCACGGAACTTGGTCAAGGCGTTCGTCGAACGTGCTTCGTGCTGTGCATAATGCACAGCTTGTGTTTTTGTTTTTAGCCGCCAGATACCATCGCGGACACCATCCACGAATGCCTTGGCCAAGGCTAGCTCAGTCGCAGCGTAAGCAAATCGCACGTCAACCTGAGGCCAGCCTAAGATTTTGCTGTATGTGGGGATAATTCATTACACAGGAACCATGCCTCTTTCAGATACATGGGACTTGATATTCCAAGAACAGAAAAATTCAAGTTATTGCACTCATAATTGCAGTATTGGATATTGGCAGGAAGGAGTTGGGATCAACAGCAATATTGAAGGTGCAAAGACACTCAAAATAATGATGGACCTCACAAATTAATACATGTACGAGACTTGGTTTCCCGAGAAAATATAACAAAACTGCAGTTTATTGAATCTAAATCAGTGAATCACTGCAGTATATTAACCCTAACCACCCCAACTCCATCAAAATCCATCCCCCCATTTTGGTGGATTTTGGGGGACTTGGTCCAGAAGGCCTTGTGTGACTAAATATTGATGGAGTATGATGGACTTGGGCCTAACGGCCTGAAGCGTTGCTAGGGTTATCAGATTGATTTTGCCTAGCTTCCTGTACTGCTATTGTGATAAAAGCCATGTGTAGCAAGTCCATGAATGTCAACCAGTGCGTCAGTGGTGGATTCCATAATGTCATGTACAGTTTTGTATTGGACACAGTGATTGATGGATTTTGATGGACTTGGTCCAGTTCCTAGTAAAAGACGCTAGGGAGTTAGGGTTAAAGTTCATACTTCATGCAAATGCAAAGCAGAGCAAATCTAATGTCGATATTAATTCTGTAATAAACTTGATGTGGCAACTGTAGTCAAGTTTAATTATGCCTCTGAGAAAGATTCTGCTGACATCAAACACTTCAAGCTCTGTAACTTTTACATTACACGTTACGTTTGATGGTTTGCTACGAAATTGGCATCATCAAGATGTATGTGTGCATGCATACTCCCACAGGAATATTTTGTGGCCCAATTCGCAACGGTAATAATGATGTAGCGCTTTGAGCACCAATACAAGTGGATAATAAGCCATTTGCGAGTGACCTATGCCCTTTGGGATTTAAATTTGAAAAACATCTGGTACACTGACTTGCTCAGAATGCTTGGCACATTTTAACTTCAAATTCTCCAGACCAAAGACACTGTGGCTAATCTCAAGAATCGGGGCAAGCTCTTGCATAGTTACGTAAGAGATGCTCAGCATCAACACATTGTTCACAATGGGTGAGAATGGCACAAAGACCCCAGACCATGCCGGAGCTTGCTAGCATAAGGCTTGCCCCAAATCACGTGATATAGTAACAGTCTCTTTGGTCGGGAGAATGCAAAGTTAAAAACGTGCAAAGCATTGGATTAAGTCAGCATTCCAGATTTTATTCAAATTTAACTAGCAAATGGCTTATTGCACTTTACAAATATGCATTTTTACTATTATTTGTATTCACTATTACCCTAATGAACAGGTTTTGTTCTAAATTTGCATGAATTATGAACCAACTTTAAGGTGTTTATGAATAGAAGTATTGAAAGGAAAGAAAGTAATGAGCCATTACCCGTGTTACCTGGTATCTGTGACTTGGCGTTCATCTGGACGAGGGAGCTGTAGGCGCTGGCACTGCTGCCTGAGGACTGGCCACTGCTCATGTTCATGGGGACTGGACTGTTGCTGGCAGAGGATGAGTGGATGATCTGCAGGGCTGGGGAGTTGGCTGAAATATGAAACGGAAAGGAGCTGGTAAACAGACAGAAAACAACAATTCACTAAGTCCGAACTGACAACAGGGTGAACTTTCAGCATTTGAAACCACAGTTTCTTCTGGATTAACACATTTCAAAGGAGGTGCTATAGTAGATTGAAACAAAATTGGTGTATCACAAGATGCTAGAAATGACTACAAATCAAAGGATTTGGACTACAATGGAAATGACTACAGATCAAAGGATCAAAACAAACACAGATACATACAGACACGTATACAAATTATGAAAAGAGCAAGTACAAATTCCAACCAACTTAAACAATGTTGGACCACTTATAAAAAAAGCCAGTCAGCATGTTTCACATTTCACAAAATCAGCGTATCCCCTCAGCAGACAAAGCCTGATCAACAACAACTACCAACAACAACTGCACGTCAGCTGAGCTTTTCTGAAGAAGTTGAAGGCTTCACAGAAGCACATGAAAAAACATTCCATGACTCATTTCAGAATCGCTCTTATTCAAGGAATGGTTTCAGAGGGAGAGAATGAAGGAGAGAGGTGAACGCCGCCCCAATCAGTCCCAGGTTCTTCTCCGCATGACTAGATATTCCATCCTTAACCCCCTGGGCATTTTTGCTAGGATGCAACCTTAATCCTGCAAAATCCTCCAACTGCCTCCAAGTAAAAATTGCGTACAGCCTCAATCCTGCAAAATCCTCCGTTATTTCTTGAATGTTGTCCTTGGAGGGGTGGCCACTGCCTCAATCCTGCAAAATCCTCCAGCAATCACCGTCAATATAAAGTTAAGGCAGAGCCAGTGACATCCTGGAGCAGTGCGGAGCATTTCAAGTATAATCTACATGTAGGCTAAACTTTATGCATGGCTGAGCACAAACAACACAAGGTCTGGCATAAGACCTTGACACAGTGCATCCTCCAAAATCAGCAACACATTTTTGCCATATAGCATCAATCCTGCAAAATTCTCCATTTTGCAAAAAAGGATTTGGGAGGATTTGGGAAGGTTAGGGTTAATGAAAAATTCACATATTTAAGAATATAAAACGTTTATATAGGTGGCCTTTGAAATCTCAAAAGACAATTGGTTATCAAAGGTTACGGTTTGGTGAACAAAACACAACATTTGGCCAATGATGGAGGGGGGGGGGGGGGGAAACAAGACTATCATCCACAGCTATCTCCACTACAGAGCTACTGACGTTGTGTCAAGGCTTTCAGCAGGCGCTCACTGGACGTCTTACTCCCTTTCTCCTTGGGAGCTGTCTTCTCTTGCACTGCTTTCGCCGGATCTCCGTCCTCCTCAATCATCTGGACATCATCATCCTCGGTTTTGGTCTTGGTCATGTTCTTGGCCTTGCTCGTTGCGGCAACATCTCGCTTGTCTTTGAGGTTCTCTTCCTCGTCATCTTCTATCATCTCAACATCGTCATCATCATCATCATCATCTTCGAGTTTACTCTTTTTTGCGCTTGTTTCTCCAGAGTCGAGACTCTCCCGTTTGACACCATCCTTTCTCGTCTCCTCTTTCATTTGAACATCATTTTCTGATGGGCTACCCGGTTTGGAATCTTGAGTAGTTTCTGTATCAGATGCCTGGGAATCAACAAAAATAAAGAATACATTAGTAAGCATTGGTTCAGCAGTTTTAAGATATACAATAATACAAATAAACAATGTTCATCTATCAAAAAATATGAAATGGAGGTTATTTTGTACGACACGTTCATACTGATACATGTAGGTGGGCAATTCCAGCATTATGAACGGTGGTGCAATATGCATGACAGATAAATTGACGATTCAGAGAAATAATCCAAAACTCCTACTCTGTTATCTCCTTGACCATTACAGATGATGGTGTATAACGATTTGAAAATACATTGTCAAGTTTATTCACTGAGCTCTTAAAAGCTCTGTCACGGACATTACATAACGCTGGATTTGCCCAGCTGCTGCAGCATGAGAACCAGGATAGGTTTGGAATGTGCAAGTATTTGACTGACCTTATCATTATCAGCAGGAACTATTTTCACATTAAGTCCAGCCAGCAGACTGCTCTTCATTCCTGTATCAACCCTCAAACCTGCCAGAAGCTGTAGTCCAAAAAAAATAACAATTTAAAAAGGGTACAGAAAAAAAGTAGAATGCAAGATTCTCCAAACCATACCTTGTTGTACACATTTATTGTGGCTCATCAAACACGACATATAGTCATGATAATGTACAGAGTCAAAACTCTGTTGTAGAATCAGATCGTTAGATGCTAGGCACTACTGTGATGTACTTTTGGTGCCAATGAGTTTAGAGCCCCACTTTAGACATACATAACCACTGAGAGCGTAATAATTTTAAAAAAGAGACTTCAGTTTGTCAGTATTGATGCTTCTTTTTTAGTGACTTGTAGCGTACATCATGTCAAGTTTTATTAGGGTTTCTTTTTGTTTTGTCCTTAAGTATTTTATAAAAAATATTGTTTTGGCTACTCTTGACAAAAAAATATTGTTTCTAAAAGGACCATTTTTAAAGCAACCAACACATTTCTTCACAAAATGTATCATTTCTAGACTAGTATTAACCCTTACCCTACTAGACCCTCCAACGCATGCCAATGTGTGCCTCAAGAAAATCTCCTATGTTTTTTGCATGGCCCTCCAATATCTGCCATGTCATTTCAAGGGTAACTGGACAGGCACTCCAATACATGCCACAGAGAACAATGAGAGTCCTCTGATAACAAAGTGAGTGCCCCCAGCTGGTCAGTATCAGGCACCCTCCAGGGCCTCCAACTCCTGCCAATTGGAGCCTTCACTGCTAAGACTTGTTATCTGCCAAATAACTGCAGCTGGAGGGCATTGGCATAACCAACTGACATGCAGTAAACTACCCTCAGAGAGTAAGGGTTAAAGCATACATGTATATTTTGACAACTTATGGTCAGCTAGGTTATGGTCAGCTAGGTTTATATTGTGCAACACAATCCCCAAAAAGGACTACACTGTATTTTGGAAATTGATAAAGCTTTTTGAAAATGACAGTGTCAGGAATCACAAGTTTTATTTTTACCAAAAGAAGTATGGAGATACATGTACCCGAGTTAACAACTTCAAATATTATTGAAATGTAAAGACTTTTTAAAATCTAAATTTGTGTGCAGTTCAAATGATATTTCCAACATTACAGACATTGCAAGCTTAAGAACTGTCTCATTTTTGGTAGCAAATCCCATGCATATAAATGTACATCTGTATCTTTGCAAACTATGTATTTTAATTAACAAAAGGCAATCTTTTAAACTTCTAGAAAACTCAGTGTTGAAGTAACATACCGGGGTTTTATTCATCGGTTCAGATTTTGTGAGACTGCCGGAAGCACCACTCATGAATGGGAAGTACACAGGAGCGCGGAATTTCAATCCTGTCAAAGAAAGGCATCCAGCAGTGTTTCAAATACACAAATGTTACAAATCCTTCAAATTCATTTCAAACCTAAGATCACAGATGTGCACCGCAAGTCCGCAACATTAAACAACTTTTTAAAATCTACCATTTCTTTTCTATGATGTTCAACTTAAAATACAATGAGAATAATTAACACAAAGAAATCTAAGTCAGAAGACATGGTAGATTTTTTTTCAAATAAACCACAAAGGGAAACTGACTAAGTGCATTATAATTACGTGGTTTTTTAAAAATTGAACAAAGAAAGAAACTGATTGGAGCATGGTTTGAACCTGCGACCTCCGGTAGATTATTTAGTAAACATGGTAAACATAAACAGTTTTTATACCTAATGATCAATATAATTAGTACACTGCCTATATGTTTCAGAAAAGACTATCTGATATCATGGAAAATGAAATTTTGAAGATTTACATCTTGAATCATTCAATTGGTTTATTTTTCAAAAGGAAACAAAAAACATGTACATGTATGGGCCGACAGTAAAATGAAAAAGAAAAAAAATATTTCAGATTTGTGTCTTAATATAGGTTGATGGTTAATACTTGGGAAAAAATGTTGCAACGTGACACCACTTCCGCGATTGTGTACAACGTCTATGGAGAGTCAAGAAAATTTATTAACAAAATTGTCTTTTGATCATCATTTTTGCAATGAATGACCTTTAATGTGACGATATATGAAGAATAAAAGCGGCGTCAGGTTGCAATCTTTTTCCCGTTAATTGGTTCAAATTACAAAAACTGGATGAATTTGGGGTGTAAATGCCATTTGAAAGGATATACCTGGCTGACGAGTTCGTGGTTTCCAGCGTTCCTCTTCCTTAAAGTGGCAACTACAGACTCGACTCCAAGTTGTAGGCATCCAGCCATGTCCGCTTCCATCCCTGTGTGATTTGCCGATGCGCTCGCACCACATATTATACCACTGCTTCCAATCTGGGCCATCGTTCTCATTCGGGAAGTTGTACAGACTGCAGAGCTCTCTGCCATTTTTGTGGTTGCATCCAGGAACACAGCAGCTCAGGCCCATTGTTCAGCTTCAGTGGTTTGCAAAATGGCCACCAATTAAAACTGCAAGATCTACTTCTAAGATCCTGTGCTGGAATGCCCAGCCCAGCAAATTTTACCCTGATCAAATTTGACACTGATATGTGGCCAGAAAAAGGCCGACTTGACTGACCACGGGGGAACAATGACGGGGTCAAATTGTCTCCAATCACTTCACACCACTCGCGAAATCACACGGGGAGGTTTTTCTGCAACAAAATGGCAGCAAATTTTCGGCGAATGTCCGGACTCAGTAGGGCGGGCACAATGACTGAAACGGCCGACACAATGATGACAAAGAACTAGCCATGTCTCAACGTACCCACGACCTTCGACCTTTGCAATAGGACGGCAATGAATCATGGGAATTATTATTCATAATATAAAATGTGTGCAGGCTAGGTTGGAATTTGTACTTGACAAATTAATTACATCTGGCATGCACGCACGAAACTTACGAGGGCAAGCCACACACACATCACAAACAACAGAAATAAAACTACAACGAAACAAACTCCATTGAAAACACTCCACTCTTACCCTTAGGTACGAACTTCACACCAGAGCTGTCCATTTTCGGAGCCAAATCCCAACCAATGAGTGCCTAAAATGGGTGATTTTCTGGCTCGGATCTCTAGGTTCCGCTTGCGAGTCGAGCAGCCTTTCACTGGTTCCTACATACGTGACGTCACAGCACTGTACAAAATTATCATAATAACATTAAACTTCCGCTCGTGTGCATTGTCAAGATACCAGTGAAACTTTTGATCTAATTTTTGGGAAGTTGTTTATTATTTTGGCTATCGTGAAAGTTGTTACAATACATTGTTACTAAATTTAGCAGTGCATCGGTAACTTTAAGTTGAGAAGACTGGCAAAGAAAACACAATTTTATCCAAAACCATGCAAAGTCGCCCTCATATCATTGAATTATGAAATGCGCAATTATATTAATTTTATGTCAATCAATTCAGCTCACCTGTATCTGCGAAAACTTATGGTCAAAGCAAAAACATATGGTCAATAAAAAAATTCCCTTACCCATTTCATAGAATCGAATTTATACATTATCAACTAGATGTAGCTTATTTATAAAGTTCATGACAAGAAAATCCCCACACAAAATGTTTTCTAAAAAATCAACCATTATTATTTTGCTCCTTCAGTAGATGCAAGCAAATTGGGCGCCGTAGACCAACTTTGAAATAAATTAATGAAACACAAACATTCCAAACAAATACACAAGACAAACTTTCAATTTTTGTTGCTCACAATTTTAATGCATCATGCAAATTTATTTACAAACATTCACAGGTTTTAAAATTCTCTAGGCCCACATATGAGGAAAAGTGAATTACTCGTTATTTGCCTAGATTTGGTTGAATATATTTGGTAATACATGACATAGATGAGACAGTGCACCTCTAGAACCCAAGCTCAATGGAGTTGTGTTGTACATCAATTAAAGCAGTTAGAAAAACTCACTCAGACGTTTCCAGGACTATATGACGATCAGCTCATAGATAATTTATACCGGAGCAAATATCATGTGATCAATGTGATTTAAATAATACACGCCTATTCTCAAATGTAAGAATTTGTTTTCTGTTTTAGCCTCTGAAGAAGAACTTGCTAAGTTCGCAACGTCAGGCCACATTAATTTTAAAATTTGTTGTGGAGGTTGACATTAAATTGACTGACTTTTAAAAGTCAGATTTTCACAATACAATGTACCATTAATAAGAATTGGGGTGCATACTGAACTTAAAATATTGCAAAGCAAATGTTACATTTATTAAATTCAGCAGTGTTAATAAACTTTCTAAAATTGAACAATTGAAAGGAATTATTTTGGAGGGCAAATGCAGTGTTCAGAATGCCAAAGTTCTGTACGTTTGACAAGTTTTGTAAATTTGCATGGACTGGCAAATGTGCTAGGCTTCAAATTATTATTGATAATGTAATGTATACGTGTCACTGTGAATAGAATACCATAAAATATAATTTATAAATAATGATTTGATTTTTCATGGTAATGGGTAAGAAATTGGGTGGGGTGGACAGAGAACATGAGAGGCATGGCATAAATTGGAGTGTGAAATATTATGAAGGATGAATGCAAAATAAGAGCAACACAGCATCATTGTAAATAGCCTTATCTTAAATGTTGAAAATGAAATACAAATCAAATTGCAAAATTCTTTTAACTTCTCATCCAAATTTAGGCAACCAATTTAATATTTAGAGACAATTTAAAACACAATGAACAACTGTGTGTGTCATCAGAAACATCTGACCACACTATACGTACATCTTTTAGATTGTTATCTTTTCATTTACACACACGAAAATAATGTTGCACAAAATAAGTAATCATCTATGTGATGAGTTTTTAATACCGATGTTTGACAAGAACAAATTGTATAATTTACAAATAAAACAACTACTTTCTGACAAAATCTGGTGAAAGGGTCTCCGAGAGGAATTTTTCCTAGGAACACATTTTGTGCAACTGTCTACTCTTAAACTTATGAAAACTATTTGACATTCTCTCTTTTTTTGTGTTCATTTCATTGAAAAGTGCACCTTTTTTTTACCCTAACAGCCCTGAATCCTTCAAAATCCTCTTTGCCAAAGTGGAGGAATTTGGAGGTTTGAGGTTACATGGCAGATGTGCGTTACTGATTTCGTAGGATGCACTTTGTCAAGGTCTTGGGTCAGACCTTGTGTTGTTTTTGCTCAGCCATGCATAAATATAGGCCTGGATTATGCTTGAAATCCTCTATTGCTCCAGAATGTCACTGGCCAAGCCTCAACATATTGACAGTCACTGCTGCAGGATTTTGCAGGATGCAGGCAATGGGCACCCCTCCACGGACCATATTCAACAAGTAATGGAGGAATTTGCAGGATTGAGGCTACATCTTAGCAAAAAGGTCTAGGGAGTTAGGGTTACACATTTAAAATTGTCCATGCTTTTCCGTACAACTGAGGGCACTGTTGTTGAGATGCCATTTCAGGAAGCTACTGTTCCGTTCAGGGGTTTTCTGTTCAAATTGTGAACCCAACAAGTTGTTCATTGAAAACATCTGTGAGAAAGGTTTGATCATTGGCTTTAATACTGCCAAGTACTAACACAACAACGAATCACCAAAGAACAGAACATTTACAACAGCAAAATATCCAAAATTCTGGCAACTTTTGGTCCAGAAGTAGTTGACACATTGAGGTTTCTGCCTGAAATGACATTACACTTTTGCTCATGAATATGGAAATTTGCATTAACATAAAACCCCAAAAGGCACCAAAACACCCTTGAAAATGACAAAACGAGGTGCATTTTTCAAGGACTGCATTAAAAGAAAATTACATTGCATGGGCCATTTAGATGACACTGGAGTTTCTTGAATATATGAGTTGTTTGGGGAGAAAGTTCATTCCACATGAAGTCTGCTCGGTTCAAAACTGACAAATAACTCACTAACTGCCAAAACTGACAAATAGCAAATGATTTTGTGGGAATCAAAAGATACCCACTATTCCTAGACGATAAAGGACAATTCAACTTCATTTTTGGTACAATACTTCCATTGATAAAAACAGGTGATGAAACAATTGCATAATTATGCTTAACGCAGGCAAAACTACAAGGATCATACTCAGTGAATACAAATATCAGAATTCTGTCCAAAAAAAGATTTGTCATGAACAATCCAAGTGTATATTTTCTCTGCCGTCAGCTATCTTCTGGTAGTTGCATTCTTATCTGGTTTCAAATAATTATTTTCAGACAAATCATTGATAAAGACAATCAGTCCATGTTTTCATATCAAGTATCAGTAAAATATTTCAGAGATTATTAAAAAGTTAGAGAAATAGATATTATTTTTATTTTAGAAGTTGACAAACACTGTTTATTTTAATACAAGAATTTAGTTTTTAATTGGTGTTGCTATTAACCATCATTAATGTTGTTAACACTAATTGCTTGGAGCATGTCTGAGAAAAAATGTACTCGCTTTATACTTAAAGGTACATGTACATCTAGAGTGGACAATTTGCAGCTATCCAAAAAGAAACCTACGAAAAAGCTTACTTGGTTTAAAGATTGGTCATGGCACTAAACTCCCTGTGAAATTATTTCTTCTGGCATGCTATCATTTTGGAGAAAACAATAAAAGGTCATTTCCAAAGATGAGTCAAATGACCCATTTTTGGAAATTTCTGTTTGTAGTTGGTTTGTGTAATTGGGTGAATCCTTGAATGGGTGCAAGCATTGACATGATGCACATGCGCGCGCGGTTGCTTTTATTCGTCGGTTCAGTGTGTGACATCACGTAGCTCTACAATCGGCTGAATGAGAACATGTCCCAGAAGCTGATTTCGGATGAAATTCAAAATACGACTTGGCAACTTTCGAAATGACACTGAGATCCTAGATTTTTTTTTTTTTCCCGGAATTTGCAGCATTCACACGGCTAAAAGTTCATCAGGTTTGTTGTTAAGCACCATTCTTATAAATATTGTGAGCATTTTTGTTGCTTCAAATGAAAACAAAAATGCACAAATTACAAATGGTCGACTCTGCCTTTAATGTGCTAGCCGAATCTGTTTATTATAAGTGTTGTCACAAGTTTTGCTTAACAAGTATACTGATTCCTGGTTTCTCAATAATATTCTACACGCACAATCCAAAAGCATGGAGCAGGCCCATTTGTGAGAGTTCTTTTCCTCGCCTGTTCACATGTTCTGTTATCAGAAGTTAAGATCTGCTGCAGTCTAGCAGGCAATTGTACATTTACAACAATTTCATAATTTTCCACTCGGAGGAAAACTTGCACATGGATAGGCTGATGCAGAACATGTAGCACTTCCTCTGTGGTCCGAGTTGTAGCAGGCGAGCACACAGCACAAAGCGCATACAGTGTTGGGGGGGGGGAGGGTAGTCCAAAGATTCTGGAAAATGTCTAATTCCTAGATCATGCTCTGTGGTACAATATGGTGTCTAAATAGAAGCATAAGTCCTACAGAGAGGAAACACTTACAATTTCATGGGCAAGCAACAGAAATGAAATGTCAGTTGCCAAATTTGGACTCTATGGACAAGTACCTTCTCAACAGTTACAAAGGGAGAGTTGGGGGAGACCACTGGGAGTGACACTGGAACGCATTGCCAATGACGCCTAAATCTCACACGAAGCCATAGGTTTTGAGCATATTAAGACTCCCTCACTGGCTGATGTGTTCACCTTTGCCATCACAGCAATCAAAATCAATCAAGTGACTGATTTTAAACAGTATAAGGATTCCCTTGTTAATTTGATACAGCCATGCTTTGACTGGAGATGATTGATATGCCAGCTGTACCTACCAGTTACCTCTTTTGTCTGTTGACGGGATTTGACTGGTCACAGTGTATACACGAATGTGATCTGACTGTTTTTTTTTACTATTCTGTATAGAGTATTCATGGCAGGGGAAGTGAATGAAATTTTAGACTGTGACTGATTAAACAATTGGAGGGTTAGTCGTTTGTATCAATACATGCACGCAGTGTGTCTCTCCAACAAGAAGTTGGGTTGTAACGTTTGTTACGGAGGACTAGCCTCACAACGACACTGAGTCAGCCGAATACAATGCAGGTCTTCCAAATTCTTCATTCGCTGTATCTCTCAAAGACCACCTTCATCTTGGCTTTATCCTCCTCGTCCTTCTTCTTCTCCGCCTCGTCCAGAAGCCGCAGCTCCTTCCGGACGGCGGTTCCCAGGGAGGGGTCGAGCTCCAGCGCCATCTTGAAATCCTTGCGGGATTTGGTGAAGTCCCAGCAGGCTGCGTAGGCCTTGGCTCTCCGGTACAGGGCCTTGACACTGGCTGTTGATCAAGACAAGTAGACAATTAATGGGATCTCTTGCAAACACTCAAAAATGAAACTGTCAAAATATTATGAAACAGCCCACTTGATTGCAACTAAATAATAGTACGAAACATCCTGTGAAATCGTTGAGCCTGGTATGCTGTCATTCTCAAAGAAAGAGGAATGTTCGTATCAGTACTAATGATGGTTAGGACCTAATCATTGCTGTGAACGAACAGTTTTCTCAAGAACAACATCCGTTAAATGGCCACCAGCTAGCTGTTGACTTCATGCGTATGCAAGGGTACGCTAGGTATACGTGTGTATGTTACTTTCCCACGACAGAGCCGGCATTCTGGCACTCCCTGTGACCTATGGGTTCTATGCACGACATATTCCATGAGGTGCACTTTGACTGTTGAAAATGAACAGCGTTTTTTTCGTGGTTTTTTTAGCACCAATGGACACAAACATTGAACAGCTCAGTGGAACGGTGTCTGCTATAAATTAATAGCCCTTAAATTGGTCCATTTCATGAAATTACGACAAATGCAAAAAGTATCCATGACCTTTATGTTAGGTGTGCCTATATTTGTGACCCACCCCAACAGAACCAAGTCACCCTAGCTACATGTACATACATGCATGTACTTTTAAAGAAGAGACCTTTTTACCATTTTGCACAATAGAAATATGTGGAAACAGTAAACATTTTCACCACAATAACACTTGTATTTATTAAGATTTCAAACTGAGAGGTGCATCAAGATGAAGTTCAGAATATATGCTTTTTGACTGGATATGAATAAACTACTAAGTGCAAAAATGTCCTGCATCTGGTCACATTATGAGTACAAATTCAGCCGTAAACCACCATTTTAAATGTCCTCCACCCTGAATGAAAATACTTGTGAGATTGTCGATGATTTATGAAGTCTACAGTGAGTATTATAACACCTCACCCACAGATTCTGTGTCTTGATTGGCCGAGAGCGAGTCACATGGTACTTTCAATTTTTGCTATATTTCTGTGCACGGCCAAAAGTACTATACCCGTAGCAACCAAAGTACTATACCATTAGCAACCAAAGTACTTATACCCATGGCACGGCATTTGTGTGCAAATGCATGCTGGTGTGCGCGTTGAGCGTTGCGCGTAGCGCGTATTGTTCCCAAGTCGGCGCGCCACAGAGTTGGATTCAAACGTTTCATGAAGGGGTGGTTTCGAGGAGAGAATTACATTTTCCACCAATTTTGTATTGAAATTGAAGTATATTTTAACTGTGTTCAGATTTAAATAACTTAAAATATTGAAACCAAGCAGAATCTGTGGGTAAAGTGTTATAAAACAAATATTGAATGCTTTATCTCATGGTGAAGTAAAACTAACCTCCCTCGGTGATCCATGGAGCATTCTATTTTCCCTCGGCTTCGCCTCGGGAAAAAAGAATGTCCATGGATCACCTCGGGAGGCTAGTTTTACTACACCACTCGAAGCATTCAATATTTGTATAATAATGTCAGACAAGAAAGTTCACAGAGGCTAGACTACTATGATCAAAGACAATCTAAACTCAGTGGTGAGATCGGGCAAATAGCCCCATAGCAACGTAGGGTTTATGGTATAATGTTTGTAAGGCAATCCTTATAATAAGCTGGTTCGGTATTTAAACTGTGCACGCCCAAAATGATACGGGTCACAGGCCATTCGGGATAGTTGAGCGCTCATCGAAGGTGCATGAACACGCAAGATGGTCACACAATGCACGTGCGTTTATTAACATCGTATAACATCTTGTAACATTGAGTAATATCGCGTCAGAGGATTTTATCCTGAATGACCTCTGACCTGGACTACTAACTTCATCAAGATACTTCTAGAGATTATTCTACTTAAACCTTCATAAATGTAGGTAAAAAACACCTTTATTGCAAAACCTCAGGAATTCGAGATTTTGAAAAGGATTCTTTAAAATGAAATCCGGGAAATAAACCTTTAAAAAAAATATCCTAAAATCAGGAAAAGAAATGAACAAATACTCTTAAATCAGGAAAAATCCTGACAAACGTCACCCCTGTAAACTTTATATTCCCATGGATACTCACTCTCGTCTTTCGCCAACACAGTGGTCGTGTGCTCAATCACCTGGTAGTAATCCTGCAGCATCAGCTTGCACTGGGCAAAGTTCAACAGGAACGGGATGCGCATGGTGTCAGTGGACAGCCAATCCTCGCTGTTGGGCTGCTCGTGCAGCAGAAGGTTCTCCAAGCATCCCAGGGCCTCCGCGTACTTCTCCGCCGCAGCGGCGTACTGCTTGTCATTGTACAGTCTATTGCCTTCCTCGCGCAGGTGAGGCAAGGCCGCTTTCTTTTCAGCATCGTTCATAGCCCATGACTCCTTCTTGTATTTCCCCTCTTCCTCGATCTGGACGACTTCGAAGGTCAGGCGGAGGGGTTCGGGGTTCTTGAGGTACTCGTCTAGGTCCGGATAGCCCAGGCCGACTTGGTTCATCTGTGCCATGCCACAGCAGTGGCCCCCTTCTGGGTTGTCGACGGTGCCCTTGGCTATGTCTCGGAGCTTTTTCATCACTGGAGCAAAGGTTGTGAGTTGCTGCATAGGACATACATTATTAATAAATGTAGCTTCAAATGAATACTTCATAGCTGTATGACAAAACATAATAAAAACACTTGCGCAGATAGTGACAGGATGCAACATGTTTATTACCAAAGAGTTCTGACTGAGTGAGTCATAATTCACCACAAGTCAGTCACAAGTCACCACAAGTCATCACATTCACAAGTCATCACAAGTCCACACATGTCAGTTCAACACAAATCAGTCCCAAGTCAACATAAGTCAGTCCCAAGTCAACACAAGTCAGTCATGTGCAATTCAACTCAAGTCAGTCACAAGTCAACACACACAGACACAAGCCATCGCAAGTCAATCACAAGTCACACAACACAAGTCAGTCAAAAGCAACTAAAGTCAGTTACAATTCAACACAAGTCAGTCACAAGTCACCAGTCAGGTGTAACTCAACACAAGTCAGTCACAAGTCACATAAGTCAACACAAGTCAGTCACAAGCCATCACAAGTCAATCACAAGTCACACAAGTCAGTGAAAAGTCACACAATTCAGTCACAATTCAACACAAGTCACACAAGTCAACACAAGTCAGTCACAAACCAACACAAGTTAGTCACAAGTCAGTCACAAGCCAACACAAGTTAGTCACAAGTCAAACAAGTCAGCCACTACTTAACAAAACTTAGACAAGCCAGTCACAAGTCATCACAGTTCCATCACAAGTCATCCATTCTCAGCCAAGTCACAAGCTTTAAACTGTCCGGAAAGATTCCCATATACGAAGTTCACTCAACACTCTGTGTACAAACCCTATGAGAGTGGACTGAAAAATTCTACGTGTTTTCCAAGAAAATGCTTGTATTTTCTCACTGCTCAATTTGACTTTGATGACATGAAATTGCTATCTGAGGGCTTGTTAGTCAATACAGAGGAAAATTAGTGAACTTCGCATATGGTAATCTTGCCAACTGTCCAAAAGATTTACCCTTCAGTAGTCTGGTGGCACGACTATGTATAGAAATAGAGAATTTGTAGAAATAGAAAATAGGTACCAGATGTTTCTTCTGATACAGTTGATTGATGCAGTACTATTAAATGGGTGTTTGACTGGTTGTTTCATGTTCCAGTCTATTTTCTTATGTTGCACGTTTTCACTGCCTTACGTTTTTGGACTCTTATGAATACACAGTATTGAGAGTCCCTAGTTTTCGGACTAGGTTGGGATTGGCTGCATCAGGGGAACCCAATTCAAATCCAGTCTTGTACCAAGGCTTCTCGTGTACTTACTGAAGGAGCCACGGTAAACTCTGCCACCTCGCCCTCCCTCATGGTCTTCAGGCACTTCTCCCACACATCCAGCTTGAACTGCTTGCCGGTGATCAGCTCAAACGGTTTCTTCTGAAGTCGGCTGTCGTCCAACACCGTCCCCTCATCATTGCACTTTGTCACCTTGTAGTAGAAATATACCTAATCCGAAAGAAAATGACAGGAATCTTTTTCAAATAGTAAAACAAGTCATTTGCATTCATTTGGTGATGTGTGGAGTAATAATAATGATCAAAATTACAAAAAGCTTTGACCAATTGCACTATTATAAACCCCATCTGTACAAGGTTAGCCCTACAAACAGGGCTGTAATTGGCTCTCTTGTCTTTTGTCTTCTCTCTGTCGCCAGGGCTACTAAGCATATTTATATTATAGTATACTAAATTTCACATTAGTTGGTCATTTCACTTCAGAAGGGTACGGAACACTCCCCCCCCCCCCCCCCCCCACACACACACACACACAGCCCACCTACTGACCTACCAATTTGCGTACATTGTTACGAAAAAACATGTTTATGAATGATGATTTATAAATGAACAAGTTTTTCAACCCCGTCCGCTTCCTTTTTCCCGCCCACTTCCATTTTTCCCACCCGCCTCTCTTTAATCAGTTAATTGTATTTAATTTTAATTCATAGTAGAACCTATACAAAATAATACATTTGCAATACATTTTGCAAATTTTGTCATGTTTGTAAATAGGGCTCGGCTAGCCCGACTGCGTCTGGCCGTACAGTACTATCGCAAGCTCTGTAGTACGGCCAGACGCTGAATGCTTCCAAAAAGACTGAATTTTTTGGGCCGCTGATGTAGCGATTTTGCTACATCTTTTGATCGAGGTTATCTTTTCATCCAGGACAAAAATTTCCACAGTTAAGGTTCTTAGTCGTAGAGCAACTCATACCTTTTCGAAAAAACGTTCTTTGGTCTCAATATTTTCATCCATCTGGCCAAAAGACGACTTTCAGTCATCATCTTCCACGAATATCGTCCCGAAAATGCTCCCCCATGCGATTTCAAAATGGCGGCCGCGCTGTAACTCATGAATATGCATAAACAGTCTGTGACGTATGACCTCGTGTTTTTGGACGTGCGTGCGGCGGCGCCGTACGTACATGTACGTACATGTACATTACTTGTAGACAACAGCCCAGTACGTGCATGCACACATACGTCCGCGCGGCGGTGTGCATGCACGTACATAATTTTGGCCAGATGGATGAAAATATTGAGACCAAAGAACGTTTTTTCGAAAAGGTATGAGTTGCTCTACGACTAACAACCTTAACTGTGGAAATTTTTGTCCTGGATGAAAAGATAATCTCGATCAAAAGATGTAGCAAAATCGCTACATTATTAGCGGCCAAAAAAATTCAGTCTTTTTGGAAGCATTCAGCGTCTGGCCGTACTACAGAGCTTGCGATAGTACTGTACAGCCAGACGCAGTCGGGCTAGGGCTCGGCCTATTATTATTAATATTATATAGGCCTAGGCATATTGTCTAATTATTTGTTTTCAACAAAATTGAGGCTATGTAGAAAGGGTGACGGCTCCATCTTGGGGGAAAAAAGGGGGGACCGGGCCTCACCCTGGGCTTTATTCTTTTTCCAAAACCCCTCCCTGGACGAGAAACTAGCATGACTAGGGCTAGGCCCTATTTAATTTTGTTATGATTGTAGTTGTACGAGGAGATATCTGTTAATTGTCTAGGCCTAGTATCAATTTGAAGTTATGATGATTTTCAATCTGGATAAAAAATTCAGGAAACAATAATATCGCAATAATGAACAAAAAAATAATAAAGTCCATAGGTTTGTGCATGCAGATTGCAGTGACATATTGCAATGCGAATGTCAATGCGATGGATTAACATAACGGTAGGCGGCGTTAGGCGCCTATTTCCGACATACAATGATAAGCATGCAGCCGGCCATAAGGGAGTTTATTAAAATCAGTTTTGATTTTGATTAAGAAATTGAACAAATAACACTACCTTAGTTCCATCTCTGTACTCTGATAAATCTCCTTTTCCCGGGTGAATAAGCTGCTTGTTTATATCTGGTCCAAGACCCACTCCCAGCCCCCTTTCCATGATGATTTTTAAGTGAAAATCACCGAAATATTCTACAGACAATAGGCGCGATCAACACGTGCGCATTCAAGAGATCGCGCTGCGCTAATACATGATCTCCCGTTTGCGCACAATGTACTCGGCATTGATCTCCATTAGTACTCGGCGCCATCGACCAATCGCGCGTGGAATAGCGCGCATGATCTTCAGATCGCGCATATCCGCCGATCGCGCCAACACTTAACAACAAAATGGCGGCGTTTTTGAAACGAAAGTGTTTCTCGTGTATGTAACGCGCTCGTACTTTCCGTAGTCTAACGTCAGGGCCTAATGTCATGATTGTTACATTTAATTGTTTGTATGAAAAAGAGCCAGATGAATTTGTTTCGCCTTGAATCATCAAGACGACGTTAGACAAATTTGAGTGGGGTAAAGATTTAACTGCCAGTGCCATTGTACAACAACTGCCGAGATTACACAGTTGACTTGGAAGTGTGGCTAGTTCCCTGACTTGACAATATTCAACGTCAGGATCTTTAGCTCTTGAAACCTGATTTTAAATTAAATCTAGGCCTACTTCAATAAATGTGTGCTTGGCCGGTTTTAAACCTTTGTTTAAGATCAGTTTGAGTCTGGATGCTGATAATTACCCGAGTCGAAGGTGAGCAAGGTGGGGGCAATAATCAGCACTAGACTCCAAAAACTGTCTTAAAAAGACAGTGTTTAATACCGGCTAAGCATATTTATTACCATTCATAAATACCTTTTCGGTCAAAAAATTTGAACAATCGAAACGTTTCGGTCCAAAAGTCAAACAAGTCCACAATTTTAAATTTCCAATGATTTTGTTCATCACGTTTAGGCCTACTTCGTGTTTTTCTGAACACCCCTCTAGCTAAATGCCCCGCTCACAAGTAGTCATAAACAACTCCTTATTATATGGAGATTGGCATGCCCGTCACGCAGTACAACGTGGCGCAGAATGCAGCTGTGCCGGAGCATTGTGAATTTAGGACTATGAGACTCACTGGTACAGTGAGTCAGTATTTCATAGTCCTAAATTCACAATGCACCGGCACAGCTGCATTCTACCAGTGGTGCGCTGGCTACGTGAGGATTATAGACAATCAACCAATGAAACGGTAAAAAGCACCGGATTTAATAGGAGTCCAAATTTCATGTGACACTTGAAAAGTGTTTAAGACAACCATTTAAAACCAGCCACGTGGCCGGCTCTCGACCAATAGGAATGGGTAAACTGTCTTAGGTATTTATGAATAGTGCTTATTATATACCCTGTAATTTTGCAAATACTCTCCAAGCATTTTTTGATTTTTGTAATTCAGTATTCAAAATTTATTTCTATTTTCTTTTTGCAGAGGTGATTTTTCTTGTAATGCAGGTTTTCAATACCTTAAGGTTTGGGACTCTCATACAGAGTATTGAGAATCCCAAATTTTCAGACTAATTTTGCTCCTCTTCTTTCTCCTTGATCTAGCATAATGAGGTGAAGAGATCGTGGCCTCAACATCCCAAAGTCGGCCATGTTTCACCAAAACCAGTTGCAGTTCAACCTGGATGTGCCCAGCCTGCCTGGCAATTTGGCGGCCCGCTACCGCCATCCAGGACCTCTTGTGATCGAGAAGCTCGGTGGAGGCACCACCAATGCGGAGTCCGCACCTGAAAAACCCAAGGATCCGCCCGTCAAATTCACCACCATCTCAGAGGATCGGCTGTCGACGGCTGTCCGGCTTGCCAGGCTTGACCTGAAGAACATCGCTTCCAAGAGCCAAACGCCTGACATCAACAAATTGTCTCGGCAAGAGCCTAGAGCTGGTAAAAAGTCCAAACCCAAACAGAGTCCTTCGGGAAAAAATCACCAACGGCTGCACAACACTAATGTCAGGTTCAGTGAACGATTTACGGACCCGAATGAAAGCCAACGATCTGTAGAAACTCAGACCCGCAAGTCTAAAAAGAGGACTAAGGACACCATTGTCTTGTGGCCTGTCAATTCGTACGGACTTGTGTTGAATGCACAACAGCATCAGCAAGGGGATGCCGGTAACAGAGGAGGGGTGTCCCCACCCTCGAGGGAGCTTGCGTTGAGCCCCAACAGCCGACAGGCCCAGGAGATCAGACGACTCCGTTCTGAGCTAAAGACGTACATGAAGAAAGTGGAGGAACTGTCTATCAAAGGTACGTATTCAGGCATCCAGTCGCTTAAACTAATGTTCTACACAACACAACTAAGCATTAGTTGCTTCGACATGAAATGTAGCCTTAGCCCAAGACTGAATATTCCCTAATAGTAATACAGCAGACCCCTGACAGGCACGGTATAGCTGTCTACAATGTTTGAATTTGCTATCAACAAGATGAATCAGATATAGTCTTGGGAACTTTGGCAGCGCTACCCAGAAAATTCTGTGCATACCTCATATGCGCTTTATACAAGCTAATGCACGCTATTTGCATATTGGTGTTTTTTTTCAAAATCTGAAGCAAGTACGCCTTAAAAAAACAAAACGTAGATTTGGTGAATGGCTCTTTTGTCCCATGCAAACAACACACGTGGCGTACAACTGCTTCAACACATTATAAACCCCTCTGTTATCACAGCCCAAATTGATTTTCTTGCAGCATCTCAGCAGAGACAGGAGGCAGCCAAGAAGGATTGGGAGGATGCCGAGGAGGATCCAAGGAGAGCAGCCCGGGCTGCTGAGCATGCTAGCCGCTCAGCTAGGCTACTCTACTCCCTTCAACAACAGGTCAGACTTTCATTTATAATGCTTGCTTTTATAAAGTAAGGCTGTAGTGTTCAAGCCCAAAACAAGTCATCCAGTCCCAAGACAAGTTGGAGCTATTCAAATTAACTTTGACATGTACAATTGTAAATTGTCAATGTTTAAACGACATAAACATTGAAAAAAAAATTGCTTCATACTGAAAGGAAACATACAGCATTTGCTTTATAGCAAATTATTGTTTCACTGACCTGTTTAAAAATTTGTGCTAACAAGATGCATGAAAAACCGAGAAAAGAAATGCTGTTCTTGTAGTCATGTTCCCAGACCCTATTTCAGACGAAATGAGTAATTTATAGACGTCAGGGAATTGTCAGGTCGGGGAACCAGACTAGATGGCTTGCACGGATGTGTAAAAGATTGCAATAATTGGATTGCAATACAATAATTCAACTTTTCTCGAAAATGGCAGCACATGGTTTCACAGGATGCTTGAGAATTTTATTCATTTACAGTCAAGTAAGGTATTTTGTTGTTTGATGTTTGCAGTGTTGTACATTACCTTTAAAGCTGTAGTCCATCATTTGCAGCTATCCAAAAAGTGACTGACGAAATTATTGTTGAAAAACATACTTAGCTGATAGATAGTAAGGGGACTAAACTCCCTGTGAAATTATTCTTTCTGGCATGCTGTCATTTTGAAGAAATCAACGAAAGAAGGCCTTTCCAACGGTGCTTCTTAAGACGCACCGTTGGAAATTTCCGTTAGTAGTTCGTTTTTTTTATTAAGCGCGCGCAAGCGTTGACACGACGCACACCCACACGCGCCATCTATAATTCGTCGGATCAGTGCACGACATCGCGTAGCTGCATTCGGCTCAGTAAGAACGTGTCTCGGACGCTGAATTCAGGCCCAATTCAAAACATGATTCAGCAGCATTTGATTTGAAATCGAGATCCTAGAATGCTGTTTTTCTCGAAATATACAGCTGAAGCTGAGCTGAAAGTTCATAAGGTTAGTTGTTCAGCATCCTTCTTCAGATTTTGAGTAGGTGTGTTGCTTCAAACGAACAAAATGCAAAAATTACAAATGATGGACTATACCTTTAAGCTGGATTTTAGAGATTGCAAGTGATAACAACTCTTTAGCAACAGTTTTGAGTTTTAAATTTTTGGCGGATATTTCCATCGCTTAGCAAAATTTCTAAAACTCTTGAGTTGTTTCCATTGGTTTTGTGAAGGTGCGAGAGATTCAAGAGGAGCTGGATAAGCTGGGACCAGGAAAAGTCAGACATACTAAAAAGGTACATTGTGGTCTGTTGTACATTTAACTCTTCACACATTCAATATTGATGCGATGATAATAAAAGAAATGGTAACTGTTTAGTTTGAAGAGCAAACATGAAATTCAGTTTGTTTTTATAATAGTGGTGGGATTTAATCCGGATTTTTAAAAATTTGGTTTGCATTCTACTATTCGGTAATTTCGGTTTCGATTTTGGCTACCGCATGATCGAAACCACCCTTAAAAGAAATGTAAGCCTGCCATTGTGACACAGGCTAAAGAAAACAACTAGAACATTCCCCAATTTGCTCCATGGTCTCTGATTGCAACTGCATTCACTTGCTAGTGGTCGTCTTGGTATATGTATAGCCTGCCCATTGGACTTATCAGAGAGTTCCCATCCATTTGTTTCAACATTACAGCTCTGGAGTGTTTTTGTAAATGCCCAGTGGTCATTGAATCCTGCAAACTATACCCAGTCATTGGGAGGGCATTGCATGCGGCACCTCACTCGTCACTTTTTGGCGGCGTGACTGTGAGCTGCATGGGAACTTCTGGTGAAATCAGATAACCGAAATTAGGATGACTGGATTTTAAAATTTCCAATTATAATGATGTCTTTAGCTTTGCATACATGTATGGTCCAATTTTTTTTACTTTGAAACTTCCCATCATACGTTTTCTTTATCTTCTCTTGATTGACCTCAGAGCCGAGCACTTAATCGTCTTGCCGCTGCCCATCGCGGTGCCGTCAGGGCCCTCCAGTCCTTCCTACACCATCTCCCATCAGAGATTGACCACCGCAGCGGCCTGCCTCCCCATTACCAAGAGCTGGCCCTCCTGATACGACAGCTGTCCCTGTGCTGCTCACAGCTGGACGTGGAGGAGTCAGGCATTCCGGAAGGAGTGCTGAATATACTGGAGCAGGCCAAGGTAACATCTGAATTTCAGTTCTGTAGTCACACAAACCCATCGCAAGTCCAGTCACAAGCCCATCACAAGTCCAGTCAAAAGCCCATCACAAGATCCAGTCACAAGCCCGTCATGGGTTCAGTCACAAGCCAATCACAAGTCCTCTCACAAGCCCATCAGAATTTCAGTCACAAGCCCATCACATGGTCCTTCGCATGTTTCTTTTGAAACACCAAAAATGAAATGCTATGAAATGAATATGAAAAACATAAAACATAAGGAGCATGCCTACAGCTTGTTAAGCCGCATGCCTACAGCTTGCAATATATGTGCCCATGAAAATAGATGAAGCCATTTCTAGTAGAAAAGTGTTACGACCTGCAGTAGAAAAGTGTTACGACCCGCCGTGGCCAAGTTATCTGGACGCAGCCTAATAATAAAACTATTGGTTCTAAAACCTTGAGAGAAAGTAACAATGAGCTCCATGCGTGTACAAGAGAGGGCGCTTTTTGATCACCGTGGCGCATACTGGTTCACGCGCGTATACTGTGAAGTACGCACAACTCATTTTTTCTGAAAGTGCACAAAGCTATTGCCTCTTCGCATGAGCATCAGGCGTTGTCAGTGGTGCGGTCCAATGTCTCCCAGAGGTCTCGCCAAACTCTCCCTTTCTTACCGTTGAGGGGGTACTTGTGCACAAAGCCCATATGAGCTTCTGCGTGAAAAATTTCCTTCTTGTCTTTCTTTGTTTGTGTAGGATTTCCAAGATGCGTTGTCACAGCAGATATCCAGCCCTCCAAGGCCCAAAGCTAATCCAGTCCCCCAGCCTCACGCCAGCCCAAGACGACGACTAGCCTTTGAGACCAACACCGTCCGAGTGCCACATGGCAAACCGGCACCCAGGGCAACAGTGTCAAAGAATCTGCGAGTTGATCAGAGATATGCAAGTATGTCAATTCATGATTTTAAACCTTCTAGCTGTAAATGAAAAGGTTAAGTGTTTTTAGTTGTTTAACTCCATTATGTCATTTTGCATCTGAAAAGTCAGTGTTTGATGTTTGTGGTTTGAACTTTTCCTTCTCTACAAGGTTAAAAAAAACTCCAAAATGTTAAACAAATTCCAAGTTTTGTAGCATTGCTAATATTGCTAGCATGTCGACTTTTGGCATGATCTCTGGCTACATATAAAGGTTTATGGGCTCAGTTTGTAGTGCACCGGAACACTACAACACTTCAAATCCTACCACAGGTTCAAATGTTGAAATTATTATAATGCACCTAGTCAGTTTCCCTTGGTGGGTTATTTGAAAATTTGTTTAAACACTACTTCTGCTGCTTTATGATGTTAACTTGCCGGCAGTTCCTATGACAGTTATTCATTTTTATTTTTATTTCTTGATCACTCTGAAAGGTCCCATGGCCCTCAACCCTCACCACTACAGAGTCAGAGAGACACCAGAGAGGGATACGGACCCACCCCGTGCCACAACCCGCGGCACATCCCACACCACACCCCACGCCACACCGGGTCCTGCAACAGTAGAGAGGTTGAGACAAACTGTTGTAAACAATAAAGGTAGGACACACCTGCATTTGTAGCCTTCATAGTCATATACTTTCTGTTGATTGATTTAGAACCGATTCGGAGGATGACATTGGACCCAAAAGTGCTCAGGCAAAACTGACTTGCACAAGACATTTAAAAATTGTCACATGGGTCATTCCGTAAATTTGGGATTCAAAGTGTGACATATTTCATGTCTGTGTTACATCTGAAATTGATGATATGCCATTGAAGTATCATTGAGGATGACTTCAAACAATGTTTTATTTGTTGGGTAGGTAGTATGCTATTCATAATCACTCTTGGAAGACAACTGCATTAAGGAGTGCATCAGAATTATAAAATCATAGATGTCAGGTGTAACAGGGACAGGAAAAAAAGTGGACCCAAAATTTATCAAGTGAGCCATGAATATGACTTGAAGCTTTGCATGGCGGATGAAATCAAATAGACAAAATTGCGGGTAACACCATGTGGAAAGAAATGTCTTCTTGGAAGAAGTATGGTTCTGAAAAGAACCTGCTGGTTGAGTGTAGAATCGGTTGGTTCAGTGTAGCACTCAACGTTTCGGACAGTGTGCTCTGTCCGTCCTCACCATCCTGAGTTCTGACCATACCCCCCTTGTGGGGTGATGTTCCTTTCAGGACACATCACCCCACTATTTTCACAATAGAAAAACATCACCCCAGAAGAGAATGTTTAGAAAAAGGGATAATGGGAACACAATGCTATCACCCCACAAGTCCGTCTGGCTAGAACGGACGTACGGACAGAGCAAACTGTCCGAAACATCGAGTTCTACACTCAACCAACCGGTTCTTTCCAGAACCACACTTCTTCCAAGAAGAGATTTAATTCCACATGGTGATACCCGCAGTGTTGCCTATTTCAAGTGAACCGTGAATAGAGTGTCACTTTATCTTAGAATGCACTTTCGGGAAAAAAAATTGATGAAAAAAATCAACGATGGTATGGACAGATACGGTAAATATCTGTAGGCTGACCTGAATTTCACCTGAAATTTACTATTTCATAATACTGTTATTCATTAAAATGAAATCAGTGTTCCTTCAGCATCATCAAGCAGGGATCATTTTCATGAGGTAGCTGGGAAAAAAAAGATGAGATTTTCGAAACAAAATCCAATAGACGTTTATTTATAATTACAATTTAGTTGTAGTACCTTGTTTTATTTTTGTTCTTGTGGGAAAACAAAAACATGGATTTCACATCCTGTTTTCAAATTGGTGATTTTTCTCCTGGTAGCGACACCGGGTAGCCCCGAGAGAAATGCAGCACTGCGGGCAGGCCTGGAGGCCCTACTCAGGGCAGGTGGGCATGCCCAAGGGCCAGCCCACTCTACTCAACCAGCTACCAAGATGCTGCAGCAACAACCAGCTGGCAGAGCACGCAAGCAGCCAGCTGTCAATGGGTTCAAGGCACCGTCTAAGAGTCTTATCCTGCCAGCCAAATTGAAGGTTCGTTTTCTGTTTGTTTGTCTGTTTGTTTGTTTCTGTCCTTCCTCTTTCCTTTTGTTAATCACAGCTGGATTGCAGTTGTTACTGTTGCTTGGTTTGAATTGTTTAGGAAAACAACCCCATAAAGTACTGAGCAGGTCCTGTACAACTTCGGCTTATTGCTTGACACCCCCCCCCCCCCCTCCCCCACCCCGCCCCGTGCTTTTACACTCTCTTAGAAGTTCCGTTTTGTTACATTATGTACTGGCATTATAGCATGAAATAAAACAAACTTGAAACTTGAATTTTATTAAAAGAAAATACAAAATTGTTGTTTTCTACTTATTCTTCTCTATGATGCTAAATCACAAGTTTGTATTTAATGGCACTGAATCCCTCAAAATCAATTGCATAATCAAAATTTGACGATCTTAATATTCTGTTTTGCCTTTCATTTACGCTTTGGTGCAGAATCCTATGGAACAAAAGAAATTGTGACATTGGCAAACAAATGGTAATCATTGCTGTGGATATATAAATCCCCTTCTCTCTTTTGGCGTTCTCATTTTGCCCTCCATACCCTCCCCACAAAAACAATCTGGTTGTACAATTGTACCAGAGGTAATAGCAAAATTTGTAAAATCTCACCATGTTTATTAAATTTGCAATGGACCAACAGGCAGCCAGGGAGAGGCTGCAGCGAGCCCGGACCATCCCCAGGGACGCCCACTTCATCCAGGAGACCTTGGCCTCCAAACTCAAGCACAGAGACCCGGCAGGGCAGACCGGTACGGCAGACCCAGCAGCTAGACCCCAGGACGACGGGGCAGCCAAGCCTGCTTGGACACCTCCGGGGTCCCCTAGAAGCTTCCATAAGGTTTCACCTCGGGCTAGGCGCGTTTCGGTTTCATCAGAGAACGAGGACGGATCAGTGATAGGTAATTAATTAGCCAGTGTTTATCTCCGGTTTCCTTGGCATAAAACAACTGGGAATACGTTTTATTCCCCTTGGATGGGATGCCAGTCCATTGCAGGTAAACCTCACCAGCTAATGCCGGTACCCACTTATATCGGGTGGAGAGAGGCAAGTGGGAGTGAAGTGGCTTGCCCAAGGACACAACAGATGGCCAGCAGCTGGATTCGAACCCCTGACCCTCTGATCACAAGCCCTAACCACTAGGCAACAATAGATATCAAAATGAATGATTGTTGACTGTTCTGATGTGGGATATGTCACATGTTTTGCTCCCCTCTAGGCGCACAGCACCCTCGGCTTCGCCTGGAGTGTTATGCGCCCCTCAAGTGATGAAAACTATATCCAATGTCACAGCAGTCAACAATTGTCAAATGCCTTACACTTTCACGAATGGTTGTTATCCGTTCCACTACACAGACTGGGAGCATTCACCAAGAAGGAGAAAGGTCAACTTTAACCTTGAGGAGGAGAGTCAAGACAAGAAGGATCCAAGGAGAGAGGGTGAGAGGAGACTGGACCCAGACTTGATGGAGAGGGAGATTGCAAGACAGGCGTGGCTGGACAGAGAGGCTGTAAAACAGGTCAGTAAATTGCCTTAGGGATATGCAACTGAACGGGTACCCGAGTACCCGACCGCTGATGTCAGGATCCAGTTCCAGATTATGGGATCGGGTACCCATAACCAACTTTACATATTACTTAGTAACTTTTCAGACAACGAAAGAGAAAGGTTTTGAATGTCATTTTTAGGAAAATTTTCAAATTGAAAACTAGGCTACACAGAAAACCAAAACAGATTTCACATTTATGTGCATTTTAATATGTGACAGATGACACTCGCAAAAGTTGAAGTTTACACTGTAAAGCTATAAAGCTCTTCAGATATCTTCCAGGATTTGAATGTTGGATTGGGTTTCTTATACGGCTCCCTGGATATCTGTGTTTTACTTCAATAGGGTACCCAGTCCCGTACTATCCGTAAACGCACTCCACTAATTGCCTTTGAGTTACTGCACAGTGTTGGCTTGGGATGGATCCAAAAGGGTAGAAACTGCAAAGGGATTTAAATCTGTTTCTTCAAATTAATATGTATTGAATGAGAAACAATTGGATGACATAGAACAGTTGTGGCACAAATTTACCAGAGTTGAAATGTGCTCAACTTGTTAAATAATTGTCATCAATAAGCATGCGCATTTGCATCGGCGCCAACAATGAACTGGCCCTTAAACGTTGTCATTCTGATGTGCACTTTCTAAAATTGCTCCAAAATGTGTACCATCTTGAGACGTTTTCTCCATTCTTTCCGTAGTTGAAGCATCTGGACCGTGGAGTCGAGGCAGACGGTCACCCACCTGTTCCTCCTCATTGGCTGGAGGAGGTTGAGCAAGCTCTCACTGACCGTCTACGACCACTCATCGATAAAGCTGAGGTGAGCATTTGTTCCCTTGTTCCCACAAAACTCATCCAAGACTATTTCCTAAATAAGTCCAAAACTTTCAGTGTCCCATCACATGAAATATTTACAACACGCAAGTCCAAAAAGTATAAAGAAGAAAAAAAGACTGGGCCATGAAATAACCAACCCAACACATTAGTGGTACAGAGGTTAAGTCTGTTTAAACAGATGCCAGAAAAGGTCTAAGAAAAGATGTTAAATAAGTCTCTATTGCCATTCAAATTCCTCTATTTCTAATCCAATGGTTACTGTACTCGACTCACGTGCTGTGGTATGTGGGTTCGAGCCCCGACGGGAACATGGTGCATGTGTTCTTGGGCAAGACACTTTACTACAACTGTCCCTCTCCACCCAGATAGAGACCAAATATCGCTGATCTCGAGCTGCTACAAAAGCTGGTCTCAAGTGTAATAATTGTGAAGCACTTTGAGACCTTTGGTACAAAGCGCTATATTAGCACCACATTATTATCATTATTATTCCTTCCCACCCCCCCCCCCCCCAAGACAACTAATTAATGGTCCATCTTTTCACGAAGATGGACATCTGCTAGTCTCGTTTCATGCTTCAAATTTAAATTCACTTTGTAAAAACAGTCTTCAATGCCAACTTAAATACTCGGGACTTCCCCTCGACCTTGTTTTTACTTTTGGTGGTTTGAAAGAAGGGCTAGTCTGTAGTCTTCTGTGGACCTGACTGACTAACCGAGGCCGCATCCGAAATTACTTGGCTAGAGCTTGAAATTACACGTGTCAATACAGAAATACACAGAAATACTCGCTATATACACAACACATAATCAGTTTGAAACATTCAACTATAAAGCACGAAGTACTGATCACAGGATGGGGGGAAAACCTCGCCAAAATAACCCTTTTGGGGTAAACCAACATGGGGAAATTCCCAATCCGGCTCCAAAATTATACAGTGGCAACCAAGTTTATAACTCCATAGATTCAGCGTATTTTTGAACTAGTGTGTTATTGGCAGTGCGTAGTTCTGATTTGAATGTAATCTATAGTTCTTAACTTTATTTTTCTTTTCAGGCTACAGCAAAAGAACAGGAGCGCATTCAGAACTCAACTACGCAGTCTCTGCATCACCAGCTATCACAGAGAGCAGCACAAGCTGTAAGTATGTGCAGGCCAGGGCCCAATCAGCCATTTGCAATTAACCTTTACCCTTTGGGATTTAAATTTGAAAAACATCTTGTACACTGACTTGCTCAGAATGCTTGGCACGTTTTAACTTTGAATTTTCCCTGTGGCCAATCACATGATTCGGGGCAAGCTTTTGCATAGTTACGTAAGAGACGCTCAGCACCAATACATTGTTCACAATGGGTGAGAATGGCACAAAGACACCAGACCATTCCGGAGCTGGGGGTTGCTAGCATAAAGACTTGCCCCAAATCACGTGATATAGTAACAGTCTCTTTGGTCGGGAGAATGCAAAGTTAAAACGTGCCAAGTATTGGATTAAGTCAGCGTTTCAGATTGTTTTCAAATTTAACTCGCAAATGGCTTATTCCATGGCGCTGCTTAACAGTTAGCTAAAAAGTTGTATTAACTACATGTGTATCAGAAAACTGCTTGTTTTTCTATCAATACAAAATTCTTCACTTTGAATTAGACATTGACCGAAATAAATATGCCCATGTTAAGTTATTGAATTATTAGTTCACAATTTCGAATTATTTGCTGCCAGACAATAATTCCGTTCTTGCGGGATAGGCTGGTTCCTGTCCCACAATCAGTATTGATAATGTACGGACCGGTCTGCTTGCCAGTCTCCAAAACAAAACCATTAACCCTAATCTTCCCAACTACATCACATCCCCCCATTTCGGGGATGTTGATAGCAAAGCCACGAGTACCAAGTCCATCAAAATCCACCAAAATCCACCTATTGTAGTGGTGGTCTTGTGGTGGATTCAGCAGATTTGGTCCTAAAGCATTATGTGAAGCAGGGTCAGTGATGGATTTTGGCAGACTTGGTCCAGTGAAATACACCAGGGAGTTAGGGTTAATGCAAAATACATTAATGTTTGTTTTATTAAGCTATTAAAGCTACAGTCCATCATTTACAGCCATCCAAAACGTAACTGACGTAATTATTGTTGAAAAACATACTTGGTTTAAAGATAGTAAGAGAACTAAACTCCCTGTGAAATTATTCTTTATGGCATACTGTCATTTTGAAGAAATAAACGAAAGAAGGCATTTCCTACGATGCGTCTAAAGACGCGTTGACACGAGGCACACACGCGCGCGGTTGCTATAATTGGTTACAAATGATGGACTGTACCTTGAAGTGCAACTCTATGTGCTGAACTCAACTTGAGGAATCACCTTTGATTGGTTTTTCAGACCAGCAACAATGCAGAGCTTCTGAGTGATCTTCTCCTGGATGACATCCTGGCGGACACGGCCTTGGAGTTCCATCGCATTGAGAGAGATGAGCAACTAGACCAGCAGGCCAGGCAGCTTGTTGAGGCCCCCACAGTGGAAGGGATGCTGCAATCACTGGAAAAGATGGAGGTAGGAAATACCTACATGACCTATGGGCATTTTTTTCTTCTACATTTGTCTCTCTTTAATGGTAGAGTACATCGTTTGCAGCTATCCAAAAAGCAACTGACGAAATTATTGTTGAAAAGGATACTTGGTTTAAAGATAGTAATGGCACTAAACTCCCTGTGAAATTATTCTTTCTGGCATGCTGTCATTTTGAAGAAAACAATGAAAGAAGGCCTTTCCAACGATGCTTCTAAAAATGCATTTTTGGAAATTTCCGTTAGTAGTTTGTTTTCAATTCGTTGACACAACACACACATGCGCGCGGTTGCTATTATTCGTCAATTCAAAGCTTGACGTCGCGTAGCTACAATCGGCTGAATGAGAACGTGTCCTGTACGCTGATTTCAGGGGCAATTCAAGACATGACTTGGTAACTTTTGAATTGAAATCGAGATCCTAAAATATTGTTTTCTCGGAATATACAGCATTCACTGAGCTAAAACTTCATCAGGTTAGTTGTTCAGCATCCTTCTTTAGATTTTGAGCACTTTTGTTGCTTCAAATGAAAAAAATGCACAAATGACAAATGATGTACTCTACCTTTAAACTTCAAACAGCTAGAAAGTACTCCTTGATTTACCCCCTATTTATTTATCGTTTTGAGAATTTTAAAGATGCATGATTTTTCACGAGAAGTGACCAGTTGTTTGTATGACTTTTTGTTGCTAATTATTAATTTTTTTCTTGCAGCTCATGGAAGATGAAATAAGGAGGCGATGGAAGCGGGTAGAGTACATTGAACAGGAGGAGCTTGGTGGAAAATCCATACCGCACAGGGAGGCCAAGTGGATGATGGGCACACCACTTGATGGAGAATTCCTTGAAAGGTACACAAGTCTTATACAGTTGATGGCAAGAAGGAAGTTATGTCGAGTACAAAGTTGCATTTGTCAGTTTGTGTTACCAGCCCCCTGTGCAGGCACGGCAGATTAAAGCTTAATTTCATAGCTCTGATGACTATTGTTACTTTTGGCAAAAAATCTTTGCCAACTATAAAGCCACCTTTTCACGTGAGCATTTTTAGTCTACTTTGCTTTCATTTAGCAGTTCTGACCAGTTCGGAATAGGCCAATGGGTACACATGGGTACACAGAATGAAACCAAAACGCCGATATACAAAGGCAGCTCAACAAAGAATTCTGCATCAACCATTAAGTGTATTTTACTATCAAGGAACTGTGGCTAGATACCGTCATTAAGAAATTTCTACGTACGAGGCTAGCAAGCAGTGATCAGATAATGTTAATTTAAAAGCAGATCTGAGGAAACAACATGTACTTGTAACTTATGGAACCCTTCAATAACAAGCTTAATTTAGTCACGATAGTCCACACTTTTTCCAAAGGCAAGAACCAAGGACAAACTAGTATGAATGGAATTAACAAGAAATTTTTCACCCATTTTATTTGTATCTTTTTCAGTTTCCCTGGGGATATACCAACTTCTCACACTTCAATGCAATTCACAAAGTCACGTCCCCGAGACACCAATAGATCTCACCCTAGTGTATCAACTGCCAGACCCTTGTATGACATGAACATCCCAGCACGAACAAATGCGTCAATCCATCCAACACTTGGTGGAGATGATGGCGACAACGGCGTCAGACCTCCGGCTGGAAACGATGTCCAGATCATTGAGATGGATTCTCGAGAAAATGCTACAGAACCTATCGGTGATACACCGGGAACAACCGTCGACCAGACTCACCACATGAATATCCTGCACACTCTACTCGACAACAAAAGCAACGTAGCTGCTGCTGTAAGACCTGGCACTGTGTTGGGCAGTAAGGAGTCAGGAACCAGACCCGTGCTGAACAGGCCCAGGTTTCCACTCTTCATACCGCTTGACACAATGAGTCGCATCAGGGACCACAGAGTACGCTTTCAGCATCACCTGAAGAGGACGTCGCATTGGGCGTATGGGACGTTTGATCCGTGGAGGCTCGTTGAAGAGTAAGTTATAATCTTTAAATGGAAAAGAAAGACAAAAATATGTAAATTGTGACACAGAAATACTTAACAAATGGCTGTAAGGTTATCACAAGTGCTTCATTGACCGAGCAAAAGTTAAATGTCTAAGGGGTTTAATGCACAATCCCTGCAACACCACCCCCCCCCCCCCCGAAAAAAACCCAGTCCAGCCTAATAAACGCGCCAGGCTATTCAAATTACCTCTAGTTACTAAATGTCTTAAGCATTTTTATACTATAAAATTGCCCACAAAAAAAACCCAACTGTTGTGAAAAAAAAACATCCTGTTCAATGACTACAATCTACTACTGCATGAAGTATAAGTGTTATAGACCATGTGGCATTTGTTTACAAAGTTGGACATTGTGGTCACGTGATGGCAACTTCCCCCAAAAACTGTTCTCAAATGCACTGCTTGCATATCTTTTCAAATAGGAATGGTTTAAAAGCGTTGACATTATTTATTCCACGAGTGCGAGTGGAACACAGAGCAATGTAGTGCATCTGTGTCCCACATGCCATGAGGCCGAAGGCACTACATTTTGTGTTCCACTTCAATGTTGTCTCAAAAAATGATCACTTTTTTGTAGAACACAAATGGCCAACACACAGACAAACGTTTAAATTGTCATTGGGTATCTTTATTTTTCGACAGAGTCTCTGATGAAATAGTGTCCGAGATTATCAAGGATGTTTCAAGCGAGGTCGGTGACATCATGGGCCACTGTGTGGACGACCTCTACAAAGCTGAGTTTGACATGACGTGACCTTTCATCTGACCATGATTTTCATCTGAAAAAGGATTTTATTTTGGTGACAAACAGATTCGGCTTGCGAGCAGACTGGCTCCTGGTCAGTACATTAGTGTGGGGCGAGAACCAGCCTATCAGAATTATTGTTGGACTGCCAGTAATTTGAATAGTAGTAAGTAATCTGATAACTAAACGTAGGCTGATAATTTTAGTTTTTGGTTATTGTCTCATTCAAAAGTGAATAACTTTTGTAGTGCTAGAAGAATAGCAATTTAGAAAAGGAAATCTATTTTTGGAGATGAAACTTGAAAATAGCAACTTTAAAATTCAACTCCCTAGGCCTTTCAGCTGGGATGCATCCTCAATCCTGCAAAATCTTCCAACTGCCTCCATGTAAAAATTGCAGCCTCAATCCTCCACAATTTTTTTGAATTTATTCATGGGAGGGGTAGCCACTGCTTCAATCCTGGAACATCCTCCAACAATCACTATCAATACATTGTGGCAGCGCCGATGATATCCAGAAGCAGTGTGGATGATTTCAAGTATAATCTGAGCATAGCTTAATAATGGTGTGGGCAAAAACTGCACAAGGTACAGCCTGTGACCTTGCCACAATGCATCTCTTCCAAAATCAAACCACACGTTTTTGCCATACAGCCTGAATCCTTCGAATTCCTCCACTTATCCAAAGAGGATAAGTTTGGGTTAATTAATGATTTCACCAGGAGATAAATCCTAGCAGTTCCGAGGAACATTTGTCGACATTGCCAACCATAACTTAGGAAGCATTGTAGCAAAGGTACTAAATTGTGATTGATCACATTTACATCACAGGTTAATTCACAAAGCCAGTTTACAAGTAACAGCGGATGAACAATAACAAAACAATGTCTTCGTTGCAATTAATTGGCATAGTGTGTCAGTGGAGTTTTTCTTTAGCCCATTAGCACCTGTACTACATTGTATTACATTGTGATTACTCAATGAAGAATCAATAAAACCATAGAGTGCTCGAGCGGTTTCGTGTGCTACAGTGAGTAATAGGCAGGGTGGTTTCGGGCGGTTTCGGGCGGTACAGTGACTAACCTTAACTCCCTAGCATAATTTACTAGGAACCAAACCCATTCTGGCAAACTTCAACACCGTATGGGAAACTGCACACACATATTTCTGACTGATGAATTTCTGACTTTGATTCTGGAGGTGTGCCAACCCAATGTAAAAGACTGTCAGTTTAGGGGTACTGTACCCATCCTGACAGATTCCAACAAAACATGCCGTTGGGGTTTGATAGGTGGGGGGGGGGGGGGTAGGGCCAAAGGGACATTTTTTAGCAACTTCCATTTGCAGCCTTCAGTTGATATTTCCAATTTGTAAAAAAAAAATGTAAGTCAAGATTGTAAACCAAGTGAGGAAATAAATAAAAATCTTTATCCTTTACATGCATTCTTTAAACAGTACTGTTATCAAATTTGATTTTCAATGATTTTATGTAGGAACTACACATTTTTGGATCAGACTTGCAAATTTTAGTTAATGTTTGTAAGTTTTGAACCATGTCATACTTTTCGATGCCATGGGCACGCAACCTGTAAAAAAGTCAAATAAATCAATTGATGAATGCATTGATATGAAATTACTGTTTCATTTATTTTGTCATTATATATGTGTATTACGTATGGACCTTGGGGGGGGTCCCAAGAAAAGCTGGAAAAAAACTTGTGAGTGAAGAAACAAAAATGTTATCAAAAGAAATGCCTTACTGATACTAAAGGATAAAAAAAAAACAATGTGAATTCAATTTGATTACAATGGAGTTGAGAAAGTGAGCGTGTTGTTTCTTCTCGGGGTCTTGTTGTAAAGCAAATGTTTGACTGAATTCTGATTGGTGTACGTTTATTTCTGTGGGAATTTGATAGTGAAGACTGGTTGCCCCTTTAAATGCGATGGTGCAGTTAATCGTGTTGCCGCTGCAAAGTTCTCTGCACTGCCTAACCAAAAGTGTCCGTGCGCCTTTGGAAAGTAGACCTCCCCTGTTTTTAAAATACCCACAAGATCTTCTGTAATAATTGATTTTGTAATGATTCTATAATGTGCAGCAGTTGAGAAAATCCAAGTAATTCAGTTTCAAGGGGATATATTTCGCAGTAGGCTCTCTATTATTTAACTATGTTAACGTAAAGAAAGCGCATTGATACACAAGTTCGCCATAATTCGGTCTAAATCTTGGCATCGCTTCGAAAGAAGTCAGACAAACATCTCTTATTACAGCTACTGCTTGTGGTTCTGTGGTTTCTGATGGTCACAAATAGAGAAGCCTTCTCGAGTAGACCAGTGTATCCCTTATCCAGTATCCATAATATTTGGGTACGTGTATGGAACATTATTGCTTGAAAGGTGCCTAAGAAATTGGAGATTTAGAAATTTTGAGATTTGAGATTAATGTGTTGTAAAATTATTGCATAGCAAGTAAGCATGGAAAATATTTCTCCTTGATTAAATTTTTATGCCTTTAATATTTTTATGCCTCTCGTAAGAAATGTACTTGTAAATTCGCAGCAAAAACATTTCTATGGAACAAATCAATGGAAATTGAGGTTTATAGAACCAGTAATGCAATTTCTCTTGACAAGAGATAACCAAGGATAAGGAGAGATGGTTATTTCAAATAATTGAATATTGAATTCATAGTCATTGTATATTGTAAATAAATTAATTTCTATTCTTCTGTTTTCTGTTATTACAGACTGCTGAAGAATGACTGTCGTTTTTTGTAGTAATACAATTTTGATCAATTTATAGTGGAATATATACCCAGTGTCACTTTCAAATTTTCTGCGTAACCTTTCCAGCTCGGTTACATGAGGTTCTCATTTTATTCTTTTATTGTCTTTAGAAATCCTTTTTTTTTTTTTTAGACCTGTTGTTATAACACGTGTCTGCAATAAATATGTAAATCACAGAGAGATCTTTTGGTGGGCACATAGTTCCAAAAATGGGGCCAAATTGGATAAAGGAAAAAACAGAATAGTACAACTTACATTTTTAGAGTTAGCGGAAAGATCAATATCTAAGCATTTCAGCATGTAAACTTTTGTAAAAGAGGTGTAACTTTGTTTCTAATTGTTTTCAAGTTCCATAATTTCGTACTACTAATAGTAGTCTTTTAATTAATTAGTAAGGTATTTTAATAAGTGGTTTTAGGATGAAAATTTTTTTATTGTGAATTTGTCTTAATTAGGCATATTGCCGCGATGATAATTTGTATGCATTAAACCATTTCAATTCAATTAAATTAGATTGGATTTGTTTATACAAGATAGGCCTACTGAGTCATAGATGTTGAACAGGAAAACAGGTGGAATGGAATTGTACATACCCGACCATGTCGAGAGTATGTTCTTATTTCCGTGTGTATATTGGGTATTTTTCTTTACAAAATGACAAAATACAAGCTAGCTTTGAAATCAATGTTTTGTTATTTCAATGTGGGGACGGAGGTTTGTGGTGTTCAAAAGCCGTGCACGACCTCTCATTTAAACTGGAAGTCAACGCATTGAGCATACTTTTGATCCTAATTCAATCAGACCGTAATGCAAAGCAATCGGGTTTGCAAAGGGTTTTTACCTGTGAATCTGTGGGTGAGTTGCTATAAATAACCCTATTCAAGCAAACTTGGACGTAACCTCAGTCGACTGAGTTTTACTGGGTTAGCTACACAAACTCTTTTGAAGTATGGTTGCATGAGATGGCAACCTGAACTGAACGGTTACTATAAGCAAGTATTTGCTGATCGCATTGAAGTATGTAGGCTAGCTCAACATACGGCTGCTACACACATTTCGCCCGTGCATTTCAAACCACACACGTTATGCTCTGCCTCTGTCTGCAATTTATGATAGAGGAGCTCTGAATTAACAACTGTTCTTCAATTTGTCGAAAAATTCTTCTTTGACAATGGATCGAGGATCTTGCTTGCTGTATCTGCTCCTGTTGTGTGTCGGGTGCTCTCTCGATACCAGTCCACTCGTGCGTGTTAACGGACAAAGTCCTATAATGCGGTTAAGTAGATATTCATACGGTCATCCTACAGCGGGTCAACATTTGATGCAACTGAAGTGTTATGCTTATGGACTACAGTCGGGAAATGTAATTGAGTGGTCGAAACTTGTTATGAATGACCAAGTCCAGATAGCGAGGGGTACAATGAGCGTCAACTCGTCCAAATACTCAGTTTCTCTACTTGATCAGTCTTATCTTCAAAGTGATACACTTTTGAATATTCATGATGTGAGTAAATACGATACCGGTACCTACTTCTGCCATTTGAAAGAATCAGCAGATGACAATGCCGCAATTCGAGGGGAAATTAGTTACTATTTCTCTGTTTTGTACTTTCCCTCTGCCATCTACCCAATTTGTTCCCCGAATGGACCATTCACTGCACAAGAAGGAACGACGATAAACATGACTTGTATCACCGAGGAAGGTCACCCACCTGCGCGAGTTGAGATCATAACATCGGGTAGGTCTACTGTATCTTCTTGGACAACTTCAACTTTGAATGGTGAAACAACTGCATCATTCGAGCTTCAAGTAGGCATGGATAATAGTGGACAAAGCTTTGAATGTGAGATTACCTCATCATCATTCAGTGGCGTGCAAAAGTCATGTTTCATCGGACCAATTACACTAAGATCTATTATGACATCAACACCAAGTAGGCCTACGCTAAAGCAAACTACACAACCAGTAACTGTAGGGCAGCCAATGTCAGGGCAGCCGATGTCCACAATGTCAGCGACAACAATTCTTCCTAAATCGACGACCAAAGCTCGCCTACGTCCAACTCCTGATAAAGAGGTAGCTGTGACAGAACAACATCAGTCAAATCCAATCAACCCTCAAGCATCTCATATTCCTTGGATTGCTGCCACCACCGGAATCTTCGTCCTCTTCGTTATCGCTGTAATCATCAACATCTTCTTCATCGTGAGAGGTCGCCATCGCCATAGCCAGAATCTCATTGAGAGGAACGTCAGTGCAACAACAGCAGATCCTAATTACACGGAGCTCCAACCAAAAGCGGAGCAGAACAGAGAATGCATCGTACCTCAAGGACAAGGGACATCTCAAATACAGCACACGTACTGCCAGGAAATTGCATCGGACCACGAATACGAGCAGCCGAAAGTGTAAATCTACTAGTCAGAGCTGTTGAAGTGGTGAGAGTCAGTGTAATACTAAAAGAGAATGTATGCACTTTAGCAAGTGTTCGTTTCTGTGGTGTTTTTGAAGAATAAGTTTCAACGTCTGTAAATAAAAAAAGCAAACTGTAAATACTGCAGCTTACTTAAAATACGCTGTTCATACTTGGGATGGTGTAAGCCCACGGAATACTTTACAGAAAAGTTGGACAGTACCTTAAGCTTTCGGATAAAAGATACGAGTGTGACTGTAAGGGTCCGGCTGAGAGATCCAACGCTAATCACAAAATATTAATGCCTGCTCGACACAAATAAATTTTAATACATTCGGTTATCCTGATATCTATGACAACATCAAGTACGCCACAATAAACTACTCAATCAAACAACTTGGAGCACTGAAACAGAAACAATGACAACTAATCTGAAAAACACAACTATACTCCTACTGCTACTCTTTAACGCCAAAGGCTCTCGGACCTAAAGGCACCTCCTCCACCGCCATATCATCGCAACCATCTCCATTGCCTGCATCATCAACTGACCCGTCACCTTATCAGCAGCCTCCATCTCAAGCTAAGGGAAGATGAGTACCCCATGCAGCCTCCACACCAGCACTACCAGCTCGCCCAGCATTCCCGGGATGAACAACAGGTGAACATCCAGAAAGTCGATCATCACCAGACATCTGCAGCAAATCCTCAAGACCCGTATGAGAACCCTGCTTCCAAGGAACATGACATACCAGTAACGTATGCTGAGCTTGATTAAGAACCAAACACATCTTGTAAGTTGCGTAAACCGAAGG